AACGCTCTAGGGTAAAAAGTCTTAAGTAGACGCTCGAGAAAGAAATCTCGAGGCTAACTAAAATAGACCTAATTAATTTATATACGCTAAGACAAGGCTTATAGACTCGAAATATAGCTCTTATTTCTATATTATATACGATACAAAGATGAAGTTAAAGATCTTTTACTTAATAGTCTCGTAGATAAAAAATCTTAGAGATAAATTTTAAGTCTCGTATAAATAAGCGAGATATTTAGAAGTCTTTGAGAGAGTAAACCTCGAAGTATAGGGTATATTATTCTTAAAAATCGTAGATCTTTCGAGAAAAGAGTTCTCGAAATATTGCGATTTTTATATTATCTATCTTCGAAGCTCGAGAATAAGCTCTCTAGAGGAGAGAGATATTATTAGAAATAGTTCTATAAAAGCTAATAGAGTATAATATAGGACTCTATAAGTAGAATATTTAGATTTAAATAGAAAGAATATCTAACTATTAAGCGTAGATACTTTTAAAATTAAGCTTTTTTAACTAAGTTACTAATTATTTTTTAAAATTTTTTAAATTTTTTTTTTTTTTTTTTTTTTTTTTTTTTTTTTTTTTTTTTTTTTTTTTTTTTTTTTTTTTTTTTTTTTATAAATTTTTAAAAAATTTTTTTTATTAATAATAATTAGAGAAAAATTATTAATAAGATTAAGTATAAGAAAGACGTCTAATATAAAGTTAAATAAATTAATTAAGATGAAAAGTATAATTAATAACTATTAGATAATAAACTTATTAATACTAGCGAGTTAATTTAAGTCTATAAGTAGATAAATAGTAAGCGAAAGTATAAAGTAATAAATAATAAGTCTCTTATTATTAAAGAGCTTAATTAATTATATAAATTAATAACGAGTAAGTAAAGATAATAAAATAAGATATAATTATCGACTAGATTAGATATATTTCTAGATAATACTTATATTATACGCGTACTCCTCTATACTTACTATTATTAAGATATAGATTAATAAAATAATTATATTATTTAAATATCTACTAAGCTCTACTATAAAGAGAGTTTATTATATTAGAGTATATACTATTAATATAAATATATTTTTATCTAGAGTAGTTATTAAAGAACTATCTAGGGATTTCACGTTAGCGCTATTACTAAAAAAAGGTTATTATTTAAATATTCTTCGCTATTTTAATATTAAATCTCGAGTTAAGTCTATTAACTTAGTTTTTTTAATAAAAAGATAATTAAAGTATAGTCTTTAAGTTAATACTTATCGATATTTATTATATATCAACGAAGGCTCTTAAGCTTCTTCTTTAGTAACTTATTTATTTTCTCTAATTTCTCTATATACTTATATATCGTTACGAGCTAGTCTTAAAGATTTATAATTATAATAAAAGCGATTAAAGTTATCGCTATTATATATCTCTATAATTTACGCTATTAAATAATCTTCTTATTAAACTTAATTTATTAATAAGATAACTTCTAAGATTATCTAACGCGACGATAGCGTTATATTAATTTTCTTATCTATATTTAAAGATATAGAGGAATTTTAATATAGTAACTAATATCGTATCTTTTAACTTTATAGTTATCGTAAAGAGAAAACTTATTTTAAATATATAAATCGTTATCTTAGTAAAAGTAAGTTTTATATAATAAATTAGATATTAGAATTTATTAGTAGTTATATATATAGAGTAATAATAATAGAAATAATTAAGAGTTAGTAGTCGCGCCTATAGAGCGACTATATACTTATTATTAAAGTTATTATTATTATTAAAAAAGAATATTATAAAATTATTAATTTACGTATTAACGCGATTAATAATAATAAGATACTTATAATAAAGAGAAGTAGACTATTAATATAATAAGATATATTATACTTATATTAGTATTAATATTAATATTATAACGCTAGAGTAAGTACTTATAAGAGAAACGTTAGAAGTTACGAAGAATAAAAATAAATAATTTAAAAGAAATTTTTATATCTTTTATTATAGCGCTATTACTAGCGAGTAGTACTTAATAATATAGATAATAGCGATATAATAATATTTCGCTATTATCTATAGAGTCGCGTCGTCTAGCTATTATTATTATTTCTATTATTATTATTAATTAATAATTAAGAGTATTATTATAGACGCGTCGCTTTATTAATTATTTTCTTCGAATTTCTATAATAAAGATTATTATTATATTGCTTCGCTATAAACGTAATACGCTATAGAAATAACGTTATCTATAGAAAAACTCTTCTTTCTTCTTTTATCTATTAGTCTTTTAAGATTTTATTATAAGTTCTTAAATCTAATATTATTCGCTATAGAGGCTATTAACTAGCGCTATAAAAACGCTAATATTAAGCGTATTAACTTACTATAGATTACTATTAACTAATATTATAAAAATAATATTATTTTTAAAGATAGTATTAATATTATTATATAATATATTAGTTATACGTCTATAACGTATAAGAGTTAATTTTATCGCGTTATCGAAACGATATCGTAACCTTAATAAATCGACTCTTTTCTCTTATTTCTCTATTAGAATTTAAAGGTTTTTTAATAAGCGTTCTATTTTTACTTAGGCGTTTAGAGATTAAAGTCTAGAAGAGAAGATAATTATTAGACTTAATACGTTATAAGTCTTAACGCTACTTACACTAAGACGTTAATATTATATATTTTATATTAGAGTTTCTTTTAGAGTTTAATTTTAATAATATATTTTATATACTTAGAGACTTAGCGAATATAGATCTACTTTATATATCTCGAAGTTTTAGTATTTTTAGAGATTAATTCTACTATCAAATATACTATTAAATCTCATAACGATTCTACGTCTTTTATAGTTTATATTTACTAGCTAATCGCTAGTAAACTACGCTCTTATATATATTAATAATTTCTTAAAAACGAGATAATAAGTATTATTTTAATAGATTATAATACTAATATTACGCGATTTTTAAAATTTAAATTTTATTAAAAATTACTAACTAAGTATAACTATTATATAATTTAAATTTTTTAAATATATTTTATATATAGAATAAAATAAATTTCTAAGTTAAGAATTTCTCTTAACGCGAAAAGTAATCGATATATATATAGAAATTTATTATTTTAAATAACGAATATAGAAGTAAATCTATTTAAAAAATACGCGTTAAAATTTTAAAGTTATTTAAATTATTTTAAAAGATAATTCGAGAATAATTAGACGCTAATATACGATTTTATTAAATAATTAAATATTTAATAATAATTATCTTTTTATTTTAATATCGTTAAATAGCTCTTAATTAAAACTATAAATTATCTTATTTAAATATTTTTATTTATTATAAATTCGTTATTAACGTTAAGATTTTAAATAGAGATATTAAAATACTCGCTTATTTTTTATATTATCTATAACTTTTTAAATATTAATAATAAAAATATAAATTTAAATATTATTATTAATCGTTTTTTTTATAGATTTTAGCGATATAATAAAAAAAAGATATTTTAAGAATTTAAGAAAGTGGCGACGATATAACTCGAACTCTCGATCTTATTTATTTAAAAATTAAAAAAAAATTCTTATTTATAATATTACTATAACTTAAGATAACTATATTATAAATAAAGAATAAAATAATTTTATCTATTTTATTATATAAAGAAAATAAATTATTTAATATATTAATAATTTCTTTAATATAAGATAATAAATATTATTTTAATAGATTATAACTTTAAAATTACGCGATTTTTAAAATTTAAATTTTATTAAAAATTACTAACTAATTATAACTATTATTATTTTTAAATTTCTTAAATATATTTTATATATAAAACGAAATAAATTTCTAAATAAAGAATTTCTCTTAGCGCGAAAAGTAATCGATACGTATATAAAAATTTATTATTTTAAATAACGAATATAGAAGTAAATTTATTAATTTTTTTAAAAAAAATTTTTTTTTAAATTTTAATTTTTTTTTTTTTTTTTTTTTTTTTTTTAAATTTTTTTTTTAAAAAAAAAAAAAATTAATTAAATATCTAATTTTATTTAAAATATCTTAATTCTAAATAAATTAAATTCTAGAGCTATTTATAAAATTTTAATTTTTATATATAATATTAATTAAGTAATACTATTTTTTTTAATTTTTAAATTATATTAATTATTCGTTAAAAAAATAAAATTATAATATAATTATAAAACGACTTTAAATTAAAGACTTTAATATTTATTTAAAAAATAACTATAAGATTAAATCTCGCGAAATAAGGGGCCTTAAAAACCCCTAATTTAAATTTTTTAAAAAAAAAAAAAAAAAAATTTTAAAAAAAAAAAAAGCGTATTTTATTTAAATATAAAAGTTATAATAAAAATTTTTTTTTCTTTAAAATATTTTTTTAAAAAATATTTTTTTTTTTTTTTTTATTTTTTTTTAAAAAAATATAAAAATTTTTTTTTTTTAAATTTTATTATTAATATTATTTTTTTATTTAATTAAATTAAATATATTAAAAATTTAATTTTTTTAATTTTAATAAAAAAAAAATTTTTTTATTATAAAAAAATATTTTTTTTTTTTATTTTTTATTATAATATTTATTTTATATTTTTTTTAAAAAATAAAATTTTTTTTTATTTTTTTTTATTTTTTTTTTTTTTTTTAATTTTTTAATAAAAAAAAAAATATAAAAAAATTTATTAAAAGTTATAAGTTTTAAATAAAATAAAAATAAAGATAAAAATTTGATTTAACTATAGAAAATTTTAACTCTTATAAATTTAATTTAATAGGGTCTTTACTTGTGGGATAAAAAAGAAAAAAAGGAATCGCCCCCTGATATTATAGTACGTCGCGAGAAGCCAGATGAGATATTTATTTAGTTTGTTAGTCAACTAAGAGGGTCTTGAGCATCGAGACACACCCGTACCGTTCTCCAAGACCTATCAGTCAGTCCCGCGGCCCTAAGGGTCTTTTCTCACTTCCTCCACATCAACGAGCTCTGCAGACACCTTCTCTCTCCCCATAGCCTCCATCTCTGTCTCTATAGCCACCACTTTTCTCTCCATTGCTGAAAACTCTCTGACGTCCCTCTCCTCCAAAATATCCTGCATCTGCTCCGTCGCCGTCTTCAGTCTCTCAATTTCCGGATCAATCTCTTCCTTCCATTGGCGTATCCCGTACTCGTCGTCATCGTCGAGAGATTTAAGTATGAACAGCGATGCATTGATCCTAGTCTCATGTGGCTCTGGCGGCATCGCAAAGAACATGCGCTGAAACTTTGCAATCCCCGGGTGAGGGTCTTCCCGTCCTTCTGCATGGATGCAGAGAGAGTTGACTTCGGCGCAGGCTTCGAAAGCCGCTCGATAAGATTCCACGGTCGAGCTCAGGACGTCTACTACTGCTGTTAAAGTAGCTTTGACCACGTGAGCTGACGACATGGATATAGATGCCTGCGGGTGGAAGACTTACGGTTAGGGTCGCCGGGGAAGCTAAATGGGAGTGGGAAAGGCTTTGGGGGAGTATCCATTCCTGAGGATTCCTCTTCAGCCGAGAAGCTTACAGCGCAAAAGTAGGACTGTGCAAGAAATTGGAAGTAGTGAGAGTCGCCACGTATTACAGTGGTATCAAAAGTCGCAGGACGACAGGATTGACTCTCCACTCTTATTTTTGAGGGCGAAAGACACGAAAAGGGCTACTTTTCGTACACGATAACAAAAACTGCAACGACAACCCAGTCCTTCTCCGAGTACATTCAATTCCTAGCACGAAAGTTTTGCCTATTGGCCGAATGGAGCAAGTATCTACTACGGCTTGGCGCCCACGACACCTTCAATGATAGGCTCAAGCTGCTCCGGGATGGTACTTCAAGATAAAAAAAAAAAAAAAAATTTTTTTTTTTTTTTAACCAACCAACTGACGACGGTCCGACGTTACTGCTGTTGATGCGTCGCCTGATTGTTGTAAGAGTGTGGACTATTTAGATATGAATTAGGTCGACTCATGGGATGACGAGATTTACACATCAACTAGAGCGAGCCTGTACAGTAGTCGAACTGAGCTGGTGCGATATTTGCGTGGGGGCCTATTGCCTATGGGCTGTCATGAGAAGTGCTCCCCTGTGCGTGAGCTTGTAAGCCTGTCGGACTCTTGTCGCTAATGCGGTGTCGTCTGGGCTGTCGTTTGCTATCATCCTCTGTTCACTCCATTCTCAAGGGCCTAAGTCTTGGCGAGCTCCAGGTTTCCTAAGATAGGGGCCCCCAGACGTCGCGCTGCTCTTCTGCTGTTCTACGTTCGCCTCTTGCTCTGGCTTCCTGGTGTCTCATGGCGAAGACCTTAGCTCATTGAGAGTCCAGGCGTATTGTGGCACCAACTGGTATATTTCTCGTGGCCTCGGTTGTTACGTATGGACTACATGAAGATTTTGTGTTCAGTCGAAAGCACCAGTGATGCTGCTCACATGTGCTGGTATGCATAGAAGTCGGTTTGGGTTGGTTACTGGACTGTAGAATGAGGCTGCCCTGTTCCGGGAACATGGCAGGACGGACAGAGACAGTACAACATAATCATGACGGTCATTCCTTGAAGGCAGAGGGGTACAATATCCTATTATGTCGCATTGGTTTTATCAATTCAAGTTGATATTGCCGAAGATTGGAGTATGATGGCCATGATCCAGTTTGCTGTTTCAGGCGCCAAGAAGAGTCCCGAGCAGGAGCGAGGTTGGCGCCACCAGCGCGGCTTTGAAAGCTTGGCGGCTTTCTCGAGAGTAGAAAGTAGAAACGAAAGGAGTGAAGATCTGTGATCACTGATCAGGTGAGTCGTCGTCGATCGCCACTCTGATCTGACAGAATCCAGATGAGATCAGCGCATTTACTTGCCTTGTCAGGAAATCAATGACTGCCGGGTTGATGAAACGGCGATAAGAAAGTCCATTCTGATTGGTGACCAGAGAGACGGATGCAACCTGAGAGTGCCAAGATATATGCACGTGCTAACCGCACAAAGGACTATTGGCTCCGCTCATGCTCGGAAGATACTTCAGATTTCTGGGTTCATCTCATCTCTCGACCCCGGGTCCTTGTACTCGGATTGGCGGGAGGCATCGTATCGCACCGCAACCTTTGCCTAGTCTGTCCCGTCTTCAGATTGAAATTTCATAAATGCAAGTTTGGCGGTTATGCGTTTGCTTTCAATAGAGTGTGATGGACTCAATCCGTTAGACCGCCATGGAAACAGATTTGTGTCATATCCGTATCATTTTCGTTTCATGCATACGGACATCTCTAAGATTATAGCTCGGCATTCTGTTTCATTGGTCAAAACGTCGCTTCTCACACCACCTGAAAGAGAAAGAGGCACGGGCTCCCATGCTCTTACTCTGCCTCCATGACGTTACAACAGTACTTCTCATATATTCCCGCAAATATGGAGTATTCCGAGACGGACGTCCGACAAAGCCTTTCCATCAAAAGCTGGGCGCCCCACGGCTCGCCCATTTTTCTGTTTCGTCTCTTGTTGTAAACCATCAGACGTTCTGCGCTTCTCAATGTTAGCCAACCTGTCGCAATATGTCATTCGAGCTTCCACCGAACAACTTTTCGCAAGCTGAGCTGAACGCTTCCAATAAGAGCCCCGTCTATGTGGCTGTTGCTGTTGGCTTCGCTTTCGCCACCGGAAGCGTCATACTGCGTACTTTAGCGCGGCGCAAGTCTAAAGCTACTTTCGGATGGGATGACTACAGCATCATCTTTGCTTTGGTGAGCTCTCTTGCCTTTGAACTCCTCTCCGATATACCACGGAAGCGCTAAGGTCAAGAGTAGTCTCTTCTCTACGCGCTTGACGTCTCGGCCGTTCTATCTGCCGCAAAGTATGGATTGGGTCGACATCTTCCCGCTGTACTTTCGACCGTTGTTCCTTTCCAAAAGGTCGGTGTTTTCCATAAACAGGTCCGCACACCTTTAGATTGACACAGTCAAGCTGGGAATCGTAGTCCTCACGCTCTGGCTAGCCACAGCCGCTGCGACAAAGGCGTCTCTTTTGTTGCTTTACTATCGACTGTTCTCTCCATCTAGGCGATTTCGCCTAGCCGTTCGCCTTGGCGCCGTAATCGTTTTTGGCCAATGGTTCAGTCTCACGTGTATAACAATCTTTCAATGCAGACCTGTCGCGGCCTTCTGGAACCGAGCTATTCGGGACGCAAAATGCATCAATCTGCCTCATTTTACCATCACCAGCGGGGTATTGAATCTCTTGACAGACGTCCTCATCCTCTGCCTTCCGATCCCCATGGTTTGGGGCTTGAATACTACTAAGGCTCAAAGGGTCACCCTGACTAGCATATTTCTACTGGGAATATTGTATGCCCCGTGCCTCCCTCTACCTGGAGCAGTATTTTTTTGACTGACTAATTTGCAGTGTATGTGTCATTTCAATCGTACGGATCAGCAAACTTGCTGCTGTGAACTACGATGATCCAACATGGCGTCTTGTGGACGTATATGTTTGGACCAACTTGGAGGCTAGTGTAGGCATAACCTCGGCCTGTCTTCCCACCCTGCGTGAGTACTCATCTTCTGGTCACTACAAAGCTAAGACTGCCAAAGGACCACTCTTGGGAAGTTTCTTTCCCGGTGCATCAACGGCAGAGTCCTCCGACAAGAAAGACAGCCAGCCTAGCTCTCAGCGTGCAGCTAAGGCCCAATTTCATCGTCTTTTTGAGGAGTCAGGGCCGGAGGTCACGCCTCAAAGTTTTACAAGAGGGACAAATGACCCCTGGACGAGCCCCGACTTGGCAGGAGGCAACGAACTTTCCAGCATGGACAGGGCTCCGACAGGACCGCTTCACTCTGTGAATTCCACTAGTCAAACCGAAGATCCGCACTATCCCACGAGAAGTACCCGGAGAGCCAACTATGAATGAGCGTGTCGAGTTGCGGTTCTTTATGCGATACACTATACTGCATGCCTACTGAGGTTCCAAGATGGGCCTGGGTTTGAAGAGAGAGAAGGCGAGATATAGGAATAGTTGGTGGACTGTTGCGAATGTCCTTGTTGCAGCAAAGAGGTTGAGCCTTATCTCTGAAGGCTCGAGATATATGAAAGAAACCCGATACTGTATCAGTCAAGGGGGGGGGGGTTTTTTTAAAAAAAAAAAGGGGGGGGGGTTCTTTTGGGTTTTTTTTTTTAAGGTAAAAAAAAGGGTACAATCCTTCTCTGTTGATTGTCACCGTGTTCTTCGCTTTCCAACTTTCCATGTCTCAAAGTTACCATCTCTGTCATGTTTGAAGATATGATCAGATAGGGTACGGTGTCATAGAATGTATCTTCCACCGCACCACAACAAAACCCTTTATCAGAATGCAGTACATCCTCCAACTGCGAAGCGCACTTCTTTTTTCCCTTTGGCCGCGTCCAACCCCATCGCAGCCACCGCTATTCTGGCCCTAGTTCCAACCATCTCAACTCACAGCCCCGATCTCCACCAACAAATTTGCCGTCCCGTCCACGCATATATTGACTGCGACCGTGCCTACTCTTCTCGCAACTTCACTGTCCCCCCCGCTGTACCTAAAGCTTCGACAGTAAGTGTGACAGTTCCACACCCCGGCACAATGACCCTTAAGAGCACTGCTCCCTAGCTCTACATGTACCATCCCATCGGTAATTTTGACGACCGCCACCCCTAGCACGATGCATCAAACGCTCACCCCCGCTTCGATCATTGTTCCGGCTACCATTCCGCCTATTTTGACCTTGCCTTCGACTAGCACTTTGAAACTTGCGCCTATCACTCGTACTAGCACCTTCACCTTGGCCTACCCACCTTGACTTGGCGACGCTATTACTAGGTACGTAACATACTCGGATACTTGATGGTTTCAACGAACATACCCCAATAAAAGAAAAATACAAAAACAAACAAACAAAACAATACAGAACAGGCTATTAAAAAAAGAACACAAACCCACCAATTAACCTAGCGCCCCAAAGGAAAGACAGGGCAAATTAGCCCACACTCGTCAATATATTAAGCTAATAATCCCCTTGAATACGGTCGAAAACCCTTTTTCTATGATCGGATGGCCCAGGTCGCGGATCCTCTCCTTTGCGATTTTACAGAATGGAAATACCGAACAACCCCAAGTAATGCAAATTACAACATACCCCTAGGGGTATGATTCAGTAATAGGATATTCGGTAAGATTCATAGTTCGGGGTATGAATTAGTAATAGCCCTGGTTTCAACGCTGCACCCAATCGCATCTCGGTACTGCATCTGGCATCACCACTGCATGTTGGCATTCCTCTGAACTTCCCCGCGAGAAAAATGTTCTTTCGCTGATGAAAGTGCTGTCCGTCTCAGATCTAGCTAAATCTAGCCCGAATGGAATGCTGCAGATATGATTTGATCACGCAGACCCTTTGTCTGTGGATGCAAAAGCTCTTTTCTTGAACGTAGGGCCAAATTCGTGGCAAGAACGCCTTCAGTTTCCTGCTATCTAACCAAGAGAGAGTGAGAACATTAGACTAGAAATGTTTAAACAGTCACAGCAGAGCTTTGAGAAACCAAAAAGGCCTGCTTCAAGTCTGTATGCGCTTACCAATTTAGCATCATAGAGTAGCGGCAGCCTCTGTCAATGAACCTAATCGCTAAGTACAGGATGGAAAAAAAAATTGTGGTGGATGTTAAATCTCCAGAAGGCTCTCCGTCGGGCTGTTCCAACTGAGTCATTTCTTGGGATAGGCAATCTCGGCCTCCCCGCGGCCCACCTGACGCGTACTCAATGCCCGTCTGAAAATTCGTCGTCTCATCAACATTCTCTTGATATGCTCTCACTTCAGGCTCCGATCACTATCATCCTGCGCAATCGCCGCAGCCGATAATAGTAAAGTTTTGACTCTGGCGGCCAATCAGCTCTTTGAGAAGGGAGCCACCGAAGTCTTCGGATTCTTCGTCGTTGTCAAGCCAGCTCAAGAGCTGTTGCTTGTCGTACGTATTATTATCGGTGAGCTGCTCGGTGAAGATTTGTAGAATAGCCTTCTTTAGTTTGTTATCGAGGTCTTTGCATCTGATGGCGAGGTTCACACGCGACTGCATTGCGATGTCGAAGGTAAGGATTTGGTTTGAGGTTATGATCAAGATTCCTTCGTAGTACTCTAGGACTCGTAGGAGGACTGCGATGATCGGTCAAACCCGGCAGTATGATTGGTACTACAATTTTAGCTGGGTGTCTTACTAGACATTAACGTATTCCTGTCGAGGTTGGCGGTGTTGCTAGACAGTAGACTCCAGAAACACGTCTGCTTCGTCACTATCCGAGCAATCAGCAGGTCTTCACAGAAACTTCCAATCTTTGCTCGACTCACAACGGGTAGCTACCCTTTGCTTATTTGATGACCATTTTTTCCTTGCTTCTGATTGTCGACCGAGGGAGCTATGACTACTTGAAGATCTCAAGTCTTCGTCATCATCGTATGATGAAATTAATCTACGGATTCCTTTGGATGGCACTCATCACTTACTTGATCCGTGGTCGCGATCTTGCGTACTACGCTTCTCTCTGCCAGAAGATCACCCTCATAGTCAAATTGATTTGCGGTCCTTTTCTCTCTCGACAGAGCTCGCGAAATCGCTCACCCGCTTGATCAACTTCTGCTTCTTCACGTTCACGCATCCAGTGTTCATGTGGTCTCAACACCAAGTTAAAGTTGCGGTTGTTGTCACCCGGGTATCTTTGATAAAGACATCTGATTTCTAGCGGTCGGAGACAAGAAGCGCAACTGGCGTCTTGCACTCGTAGCATACCAAGGTGCAAAGACTCGATGAGCAGTGCACTTTTCACTCTGAGTTTTCAGATTCTCCACCTCAGCATCGTTAGCGAGTGCTTCGGAAAAGTGAACTTTCCCTCCCCGTTCCATGCACTCTCATTCGCCACAACCTCCTTGTCATTTCCCTTCACGTTCGTCACCCATACCCCACTGCCAGTCACCGTCCAAACGATCACCTTTCCAGCCTTCAGGCCCTCAATCTCCGACTCCCATTCCTTCTGCTCGTTAATGTTCACGACGACAAGATTGCACCAACCATCTTCATCCACACAAGCACTGACATCCAACCATCCAACCTCCCTCATCGCTCCGAGCCATTTAGGTTCCGTCTCTCCCTTATAAGCCCCACATTTGACCCACGCGCTCACCCTCTCTCCTTTCATGTACTTGGAAAAAAGCCACAACGGCCACCAAATCGTCTGCTTCACCATGCCTTCCTTACTGGTCAGAAGAGGGCCGAGCACATTCACGGCCTGCGCAAGACAAGCCATGCCCAGTTTGTCGCTCTGTCTCACGAACACGTTCAACCATATGCCCACAGCCAGTGCATCACTTAGGGTGTATCTTTCCTCTCCTCCCTTCTCACCTTCTGCACGTACTGGGTCCCAGACGTTCCATTCGTCAAAGCAGATCTTGGGCCTCCATGATGGATCTTTGATGACCACTTTGTTGGCGATCAAGGCGGCATCTATGAGTGCGGAGGTCGTTTGGATTGCTTTTTCAGCGGCGAGTGGAGCGAGGGCGTTAGGGATGTGGTCCTTAGCAATGGTGTAGATATGGATGCTGTGCATGTCTATGAGTGGTGTTTTGGGGAACGGGGAAAAATGATCCGCGATGGGCTGCAAGCAGTGGTGGAGGACATGGGAGTCCCAAAGTGTGCCAGCTAGGCCATCGGAGCCGCCGAGGATGAGTTTGATGGAGGGGTCGAGGAGTTTCAGGGCTGGTCGTGCGGCTATCAGCAAAGAACGAGAGTGGAACACCTAGTGGAAGAAGAGATGTCATAGGAGACTGTGCAACTACGTACCTTTGGCCCACGATAAGGCTTGTTGAGCGTACTGTTCGGGAGTCATCTGGTTGACTTGCCATTCTCCCCACATTTCGTTACCTAGAGCCCAGTATTTGACCTGTGAATGAGATATCTCAGTGACAGAACGAATAGTGATCGACAGGCTCGTCTGAAGGAGAGCAACACCCACAGAGCTGGACGTACTTACATTGTAAGGCTCAGGATGGCCGTTCACTCGACGCAGATTGGCGTAGTAAGTGTCTCTTGTGCCATTGCAGTATTCCAGCCAGCCGAGAGCTAATCCCGTTATTGATATTGAGTACCAATACACTAGTCAGGGGTCTCATACCTTCGTCAAGAGTCCCTTATTGCAGTTTAGCAACATGCGACCTCGGAGACTAAAGTGACATACCTGTGCCAAAATTCAGACAGATGTAAGGCTCGGTCCCAAGCACCTCGCACCATTTCATGAACTCGTCTGTGCCAAATTGATTGGTCTCTGTCGTGACCCAAGCTAATTCAGGCCTTCAGGAATTTTCAGCTCTCTGAGGCGAACAAACCGGAGCATAGTACAAGAGGGCATTGTGCTCACCTTGCCGGTCGATCTTTTTTGGGTCCAACGCCATCACGCCAATGATAAGTAGCGCAGAAATTGCCGCCAGGATATCTGACCACAGGCATTTGCAGCTCTTTCAATGCCTTGAGCACGTCCTTGCGGAAACCATGTTCATCTGAAAGCGGATTGTTAGGATCATAGACGCCCCCATAGATGCATCGTCCCATGTGCTCGGTGAAACCACCGTAAATATTTCGATCGATCTTGGAGAGACGCTTGGAAGTGTCTAAAATTATTGACGGAGTCTCGTCGTCGGAGACTCTGGTGAAGGTGGCCATGACTGAAATATTGTGTAAATGTACTCAAGTTTGGACTCGAATTTGAGATGGGGAACAAATTCCCTACGTATTATTATGTCTGACTCACGGAAACTCACAGGTGCGTAAAGTTTGTGTTGAGGTGGGTTGGCAAGATGCGCTGGCACTCGAAATGCGCGTCAGTTGTAAAATATCGGCGATCGCGAAGGGAATTTCCTGGCTGTGTTGTCAAGTCTTGAGCGATGCAAAGTCATCGGATCAGACCAACCTCTTATATGTACAGGAGAAGTATCTCAAACAGAGCCTTTGCGCAATTCTCAATATGCTCGTGAGGTCGTCATTGCCTCCAACTAATCCCTATTCAAGTACGCCAAGACTTGGCCAAGGTAGCAAAACTCAATCTCAGCTGTTGCCCCCATCGTCGGAATTCAGAGATAGCACGAAGTGTTCTAACCGGATACCTCTAAGTGCCATAGCTCTTAGCTTTCAATGGCCACGCTGAGGTCAAGAGACTTCCCTATTTTCTAATTAATTATGCTAGATTTTTGTGACGTGCACTTGCATTACCGCCTTAAGATATCGTACCGCATAGTCTTTACTATTCCACCCAACAAAATGGCAGCCAGGGCGAAAATGGATTTCAGCCGCTTCCAATAGGCGACATATCAAAAGAAGGTGACCGTCGAAGCGGCATAGAACCGTCCGTTAAGATTTCGCCAACCTCGCACCGACGAGCAGAACTTTCTGCTCTCTTACGCTCAAATACTATGATATTTGAATCTGTGAATAACATCTTACGAAATATGAAGCCTCAAATTGGCCGATGGTTAGTGGGTCCATTATGAGGCCATAGCGTTGGTGGCTGTTTGATCAGCCGTTCGCTGTTGGTACCCTTGTTGGTACCCCTGTTGGTACCCCGGCAAGGGGTTGGGGACAGGTGTCCAGTACGAGCTATATAGCCACCTGTTTTGCACCTGTCAACGGCTCTTCATTCGATTTCGTCTCTTTCAGAGCCATATCATTTTTCTTTTATCAGTCATTGCGAAAGGATATTTCGACTATTTCAGCCATGCGGCCATGAAGCTATTCAGCCATTCCAGCTATTTGAGGCCACTGCAGTCACATGGATATTTCAGCCCTATTTCAGCCCTATTGCGCCATCGGCCATCAGAGGCTACTCAGCCATTTCCAGCCATATCACATAGGAATTGTCCAGCATACCAGCTATTTGAGGCTATTGCAGTCACATAGATATCATGCAGCTATTCAGCCATAACCACCAGCCATTGGAGCCATGTCAGCCATTGGAGCCATTCCAGCCATTTGCAGCCGTACGGCCATGCGACCATGCAGCTACCATTTGGATACACACTTCAGCCATTCCACCTACAACTATTCGCCTCAGCTATCGCAGCTACATTGATATTCCAGTCACTTCAGCTATTTAGGCTATTGCAGCCATGTGGATATTTTCAATCATTGCAGCTATTTCAGCCATTTCGGCTATCGCAGCCATGTCGCTATTTCAGCTATTTCAGCTATTTAAACTATTACAGCCATATCGCTATTTCAGCTATTTGGGCTAGTGCAGCCATGCGGACATTTCAGCTATTTGGGCTATTGCAGCCATATAGATATTTTCAATCATTGCAGCTATTTCAGCTATTTCGGCTATCGCAGCCATTTAGCTATTTCAGCTATGTCAGCTATTTGAACTATTGCAGCCATGTGGCTATGTCAGCTATTTAAGTATCGCAGCCAGGTGGCTATTTCAGCTATGTCAGCTATGTCAGCTATTTGAGCTATTCAGCCATGTGGCTATTTCAGCTATATCAGCTATTGCAGCTATGAGGGCTATTAAGCTATTGCAGCCATGTAGCTATTTCAGCTATAGCTATTGCAGCCATGTGGCTATTTCAGCTATTTCAGCTATTGCAGCTATGTAGGCTATTGCAGCCATGTGGATATTTCAGCTATTTCAGCTATTTGAGCTATTGCTGCCATGCGGCTATTTCAGCTATTTGGGCTATTGCAGCCATGTCAGCTATTTAAGCTATTGCAGCCATGTGGCTATTTCAGCTATGTCAGCTATTGCAGCTATGAGGGCTATTGAGCTATTGCAGCCATGTGGCTATTTCAGCTATGATGCAGCTATGTGGGCTATTGCAGCCATGTGGATATTTCAGCTATTTCAGCCATTTGAGCTATTGCAGCCATGCGGCTATTTCAGCTATTTGGGCTATTGCAGCCATGTCAGCTATTTCAGCTATTGCAGCCATGTGGCTATTTCAGCTATTTCACTATTGAGCTATTGAGCCAGGCTATTTCACTATTCACTATTGAGCTATTGCAGCCATGCGGCTATTTCAGCTATTTGGGCTATTGCAGCCATGTCAGCTATTTGAGCTATTGCAGCCATGTGGCTATTTCAGCTATTTCAGCTATTTGAGCTATTGCAGCCATGTGGCTATTGCAGTCAGTCAGCTATTTGGGCTACTGCAGCCTTGGAGATATCTCAGCTATTCCAGCTATTTGGGCTACCGCAGCCTTAGAGATGTCTCAGCTATTCCAGCTATTTGGGCTATCCCAGTCATTTCAGCTATTTGAACTACCGCAGTCATATCCAGCTACTTCAGCTATCGCAGCCACGGGGATGTTTCAGTCATTCCAGCTATTCGGGCTATCGCAACCATGGAGATGTCCCAGCCATTTCAGCTGTCCGGGCTATCGCAGCCACGGGGATGTTTCAGTCATTCCAGCTATTCGGGCTATCGCAACCATGGAGATGTCCCAGCCATTTCAGCTGTCCGGGCTATCGCAACCACGGGGATGTTTCAGTCATTCCAGCTATTCGGGCTATCGCAACCATGGAGATATCCCAGCCATGTCAGCTATCCGGGCTATTACAACCATAGAGATGTCCCAGCCATGTCAGCTAGTTGGAATATCGCAGACATGGGGATGTCCCAGTTATTTCAGCCATTTGGGCTATCGCAGCCATGGAGATATCTCAGCTTTTCCAGCCGTTTGCGCTATCGCAGCCATGGAGATGTCTCAGTTACTTCAGCTATTTGGGCTATCGCAGCCACAAGGGTATCTCAGCTATCGCAGCCATGGAGATGTCTCAGGATTTCAGCTAATCGGGCTACCGCAGCCATAAAGAGGTCTCAACGATTCCAGCTAATTGGGCTACCGCAGCCATGGAGATGTCTCCGTTATTTCAGCTGGTTAAGCTATCGCAGCCAGGGGGAATTTCAGCTAATCCAGCTAATTGGGCTACCGCAGCCATGGAGATGTCTCAGTTAATTCAGCTACTTGGGCTACCGCAGCCATGGAGATATCTCGGTTACTTCAGCTATTTAGGCTATCGCAGCCTTGGAGAGGTCCCAGCCAATTCAGCTATTCGGGCTATCGCAACCACGGAGATGTCCCAGCTATTTCAGCTACTTGGACTATCGCAGACATAGGGATGTCCCAGCTATTTCAGCTATTTGGGCTACCGCAGCCATGAAGATATCCCAGCTATTCCAGGCTATCGCAGCCATAGAGATGTCTCAGTGATTTCAGCTAATCGGGCTACCGCAGCCATGAGGTCTCAACGATTCCAGCTATTTGGGCTACCGCGGCCATGGAGATGTCTCAGTTATTTCAGCTGTTTTGACTACCGCAGCCATAGGGATATTTCAGCTATCCCAGCTATTTGGGCTACCGCAGCCATAAAGATGTCTTAGCGATTCCAGCCATTTGGGCTATCGCAGCCCTGGGGATATCTCGGCTATCGCAGCCATACGAGATTTTTCACCTATTCCAGCCATTTGGGCTATCGCAGCTATGGGACGTCCTTATCACTCCGACTATTTGGGCTACCGCAGCCAGGGAGATGTTTCATCTATTCCAGCCATTTAGGCTATTTCATCGGGCGATGACGCATGCGCGTCAAAGCCTTACATCAGATGTGAAGCCCCACCGAGGGCCATGATTCAGGCCAGTCCTTCCGCAGAGGGCTACAACTTGGTGTTGAGGGCCATTATTCAGACCAGTCCTTCCGCAGAGGGGCTACAACTTGATGTTGAGGACCATAATTCAGGCCAGTCCTTCCCAGAGGGGCTCAGTCCTTCCGCAGAGGGCTGCATCTTGGTATTGAGGGTCATTATTGAGGTTATTATTCAGGCCAGTCCTTCCGCAGAGGGGCTACAACTTGGTTGAGGGCCATTATTCAGGCCAGTCCTTCCGCAGAGGGGCTGCAACTTGGTTGAGGGCCATATTCAGGCCAGTCCTTCCGCAGAGGGCTGCAACTTGTAGGGCCAATCAGGCCAGTCCTTCCGCAGAGGGGCTGCATCTTGGTATTGAGGGTCATTATTGAGGGTTATTATTCAAGCCAGTCCTTCCGCAGAGGGGCTACAACTTAGTGTTGAGGACCATTATTCAGGCCAGTCCTTCCGCAGAGGGGCTACAATATCAGCACGTGACGCCGGCGATTCCTACCGCCTTTCGTCACTCACCCAGCCTACCTACCATTCACTACGGCACCAGCACCTTCCAGCCCATCCGCGCTAGTGCTGCCGGTCCCTACTACTTACTACAATAGATACCGTTAGGATCCTCCTCGAGACCTTCGCCCTCTTTGGACGACGTCTTGGGTTATTTGGGAGTTTTTCTAGCGCTGAGGGGCCTTTTTTGAACTATTTGCATATCCAGAAAGGTCTCAGCTGCCCCAGTGTTGAATATGCCCAATCATCTATCTACATATCTACTTATGCATGCGTTGTTCTATATGGCCTCACTGTTTGCGAGCACTAATCGCAACAGTGGGACTGTGGGTTAGTGGGTCCATTATGAGGCCATAGCGTTAATAGCTGTTTGATCAGCCGTTCGCTGTTGGTACCCTTGTTGTACCCTTGTTGGACCCCTATTGGTACCCCGGCAAGGGGTTGGGGACAGGTGTCCAGTACGAGCTATATAGCCACCTGTTTTGCACCTATCAACGGCTCTTCATTCGATTTCGTCTCTTTCAGAGCCATATCATTTTTCTCCCACCCACCCACACCTGTATATAGCCTCATTTCACTCCAGGGCATGTCGCTCAGACATGGGAGTTTTTCTAGCGCTAGGGGGCCTTTTTTGGACTATTTGCATATCCAGAAAGGTCTCAGCTGCCCCAGTGTTGGATATGCCCAATCATCTATCTACATATCTACTTGTGCATGCGTTGTTCTGTATGGCCTCACTGTTTGCGAGCACTAATTATTATAAAATAAAACCCAATCCTTTTTTTTTTTTTTTTTTTTTTTTTTTTTTTTTTTTTTAAAATAATAAATATTTTTTTTTTTTTATTTTTTTTTTTTTTTTTTTTTTTTTTTTTTTTATTTTTTTAAAATTTTTTTTTTTTTTTTTTTTTTTTTTTTTTTTTTTTTTTTTTTTTTTTTTTTTTTTTTTTTTTTTTTTTTTTTAAATTTTTTTTTTTTTTTTTTTTTTTTTTTTTTTTTTTTTTTTTTTTTGGGGGTTTTTCAAATTTTCCCCCCTTTTTTTTTGGGGGGTTTTTTTTTTTTAAAAAGGGTTTCTTTTTTTCCCCGGGGGCCCCCATTTTTTTTTTAATTCCTTTGGGGGCCTGAAGGGGGGGGGGGGGGGTAGGGGGGGGTTTTTTTTTTTTTTTGGGGGGGTTTTGGGGGGGGGGGAACCTTTTTTTTTATGGGGACACCGTGATCCCTCGTAACAGGTATATTTATACACAAGGGCGATGCCGCAGCCTCCACCTGCTGCTTTAGACGCTCTTCTTGACTACCAGCGTCAAAACCGTAGCTGCATCAAGACGAATTGGCGCGGTTCTTGAAAGAGGAGTGGGATGTTGAGGTCCACAAGTCCACCGTCTGCAGGGCTCTAGAACAGGCTGAAGTCACACACAAGAAGGGTCAAAGGATCGGTCCTCAAGGTGACGTGCTTCGTGTTGCATGGCAGGCGTTTGCGAGTCAGGTCAAGGCGGAGCAGCTGGTCTTTATCGACGAGTCGTTGTTCAAGCTGCAAACGATGTGGCGGTCCATGGCCTATGCTCCTATCGGTGACCCTACTCGATATCATAGTGATATAAGACGAGGTGATACTGTCAGCATTCTACCTGCATACACCACTGCAGGCTACATATTTGACGGCGAAATTAAGGCATTTAAACGAGATTTGGAGCATTTGACTATGGAGATAACAGAGTAGTTACAATGAAATACTACGTAATATCAATCAAAATCCTCCACCTTCTCTATGACAAGAGTGGCAAATACGTTCTCTACAATTTTCTATGAATGGCGCTAACAAAAAGTCGGAGGCGGAGCTGAATCAGCTTTGCCAAGCATTCTTATTTAATAGCATCCAGCGCGCGTCATTGATCTCGCGTTCTTGTTCAAAATCGAGTATACAGCATAGGCATGTTTAAGCACAGAGACCACAACCATCATGACATCTCCCTCCCTCGATAATGACAGAACTGTAAAAGCAGAGCTAATTGCTCCCATACCAACCCCGCATTGGGGCGCACAATCCGGAGCCGCTTTCACAGTCCGCGCAACAACCACCATCGACGCCCGACCTCAACCTGTGCTCGATGCTCTTTTGGGCACTTCCACCTGGCCGCATTGGAACAACTTCGTCCCTCGAGCCACCCTCTCCAACCCTTCCAGAGACTCCGATGATCCCAGTCGACTGCATCCTGGCACGCTGTTCACGGAACACGTCGACATGGCCGGTCGCGGCAGATCTACGATTGTCAAGATGAAGCTGCTCATGACCACCCTCGACGAGGTGAATGAACCGGATAAGAAAGGCTTCAAGGTGGTCTGGCTTGGCAAGGGGTATCCGGACTGGGCGCTGAGGTCGGAGAGGGTGCATGAGATCTACGCAGAGGAAGGCGGAGGAGGAACTGTCTATGATGTCTACGAGACTTTCAGCGGGCCCCTAGCTTGGGCTGTGAAGATCTTCGTAGGGAGGACGCTTGTGAAGAGGTTTGGGCAGTGGAATGGGGAGTTAAAGGCGTATTTGCAGGGGAAATGTTGAGGAAAGCTGAGCGAAAATCCAGAAATGATACTTTTTGAGTGTTTTCATGTCTGTCTATCTATCTGTTGGTGATGCTTCGCATGTCTGCAAAGTCTTCACGAGAAATATTGCCCTCGTCGCACCCCAGCACAACAATTCAAATCAAGTCCGCTGAAAGGCCGTGAGATCATGAGAGAACGGCTGCACAAAACAGCCAATCAAGCGTCATTCGATGTTGAATCGATCCTCTTATCAGAAGGCTGCTGTTTCTCAGCGAGACGCTTTCTTCTTATCAGTCGCAGAACTCGCAAACAAATCAAGATACATGCAATCCTAACTCCCTAGCACATTCATACAGATTGGGTTTGCTGGAAAGTCATACGGTAAGGATTGGACGGCTTTCACAACGGCCAAACATGCGTCTTCCCACGTGGGGGTCTGTCCGTGGACAGCCCTATCCCTAATCCTCCCACCAGTCGGTTCGAGGTTGGTTGTTGGTATTTTCATTATCAGCATTGTGCCCGCGACCGACGTCTCTCCGACTGCATTGTGGAGTGGAGCCGTAGTCTGCGCCATTGGATCTCTCTGCTGGAGGTGTAGTGGGATATGCAGAGTAATAACCTCGTGGTGGGAGCTCATGTTCACGGCTCCTGGTATGTGGTTTAGTCCCGGTCGTCACTCTCCTGTCATAGCAGTCCCTTTTGCCGTCATCGACCTCACTCCTGGACCCCAATTAGTATCTTGCGGAGTAAGCCCCGAGAGTTCACGGATGGGTGCTTAGAGCTGTAAGACCTACGATCGATATCTTTCGTGACGATCGTGATCGCTGGTAGCTCGTCTGTGTTGGTCGAAGGCTGTCTGCGCGTACTTGTGATGTGCAACCGCTTGTGGCAGGCTATGTTGCCCGTAGGGGAATTCATCTTCGGCGTCCGTTCGTAGGGACCCATTGCTGTCCAGGGATCAATACAACATTGAGATTTAGGCATGAAAGGACTTACGCGTAGGCTGCATCTGCCAGATCTAGCGCACGACCAGACATATCGGCATGCTGGCTTGGTAGTAGACTACCCGTTGCATGTTCATAGTACTCCTTTTCCTCTGCATCCAGCTTTTCAATCTCCGCAGCGTTTTTCCGCTTTGCATCAAGGTAGGACTCGAGTGCTATATTTCTGTGCTGTGTGCTATCAACATATCTAGCATGTGCTATGTCTCTCCCACTATTTCGGGGGAAATTTGGGTTACTCCGGCGATGCCTTCCATTGATCATCCGTTCTTCCGCTCCATAACGCTGGGCGTGAATGTGGTCGTATTCGGCCGCCATACCTGCGGGTGGTGGATGAGTGGCATCAAACCATGCCAGATTTCGGGTGCGATGTGGTCGGCGGGGCGCTTCTGCGCGGAGTCGTTCTTCGCGGAGCTCATCATCACGGTTACGTTTCCGTTCACTGCGGGTTTCTACCACGTTCCAGTCACGGTCTGCCATGGTGACGAGGACTTCGAAGGGTAGTTCGGAGGGTAGTCAGTACAGATTTTCAGAACTAGGAGGATGTGGTTTGTGTAAGAGTACGGGAGAAGCGACAGGTGTGAGCGAAGTGTTGGAACATCAGCATTTCAACCACCTCTTCATGCGAAATTTCTATTACAGAAGCATCAGAGAGCTAGGGTCTTGTTCCACAGTGAAAAGGCTCTCCGGTACGCGCAATATAGACGGACAATATAGCTAACGCGGTGGCATGAGCTAGAGTCAGATCACGAGTGGTTTAACTAGCCAGTACAAGCAATCAATTGAGCACCGGGTTACCCCTCATGCAGGCGGACTGAGCTGTCCCTGTCGAATCGCTCCAAGTTCGGCATTTAAGGGCCCACATTCTATGGACTGCAGATGGTCACATTCCCAGAATTTGTGGCGTTCTGAGCTCGATATAGGAGCAGAATGAGTCAATCATGAGGGCAACCCGACCACACCGCAGACTTTCAATGGTGGGAGTTCGACCAAGCGCTTCGGTAATGCTCGTACCGGGACGAGGAAATGTGTTATTCAGGGAATTTCGGGTCAATGGATGGCTGCGAGAAGCAGAGCAATAGCCAAGCAGCTCTTCTCGAAAGCGAGCCACGCCCGAGTGGGCCGGATAATGGGCGGGTTTCAGTGAGTTGGACCAAAGATTGGACCTCAATCCGTCGGTAATGAAGGCACATGATTTCAGGTCAACTAATTGCCAGCAAAGCTTGGCCACCGGCTACAACTCCCCATACCGGGCTAAGTTAGCTCACCGGTCACTGCTGGCCAAAGAAGCCAGCGTAATTTGGTCTTTCCGGGCTTGAAGTCTCTTCTTCCACTTCGTGTTGGGCTTACTAGGAAAAGAGCTCGACGAATGATTTCTTGGAAGAGTAACTGGAACCTACCATCCAGACTTCACACCTGTCTTTGACTTCGGAATGAACGCTCTACAAGCTTATTCACCCACCTTTACTTATTCTGTGATGTGGAAATGAAGTGTTCTGCAGGCAAGCGGCCAAAATCGCAAAGCGTTTCGCGCCATCACACTAACCATTCCAGGTTAGAGCAGGCTCGCCCTATGCCAAGCGCCTGTACGGTAAGTAACTCTAGGTTCCTCACGGCTCATCGATTCAACACTTTACATCTCACAAACAATACGAAAACCTTCTTCTTGCCTTCACCAAACCCCTCATCTACATCGTCAGCCAGGAATCTACAGCCACCTCTCCTCTCTGCTATTCCTTCTGCAGTCTCTTACACGCATTCATTATGTCAGACATGTCAGACCACAGCGCGCTGGAGCTGCTTTTGCCCGAGGTGCAACAGCTAATCCTCTTGCGGCTGGACTTTGTTACTCTACACGCCCTTATCCACGCCTCACCGCGTATGTATCAAGTCTTCAAACTCAACAAAAGGATCATCCTCTCAACGGTGACACGTCAGCAATTTGACCCTGCTACAACACGAGCCGCTCAGGCCATCGAGAGATTGTATTCAATCGAACACCCTCCATTCTCACGAGGCACTCTACTTCGCATGTTCTCTACCTTGGATGAACTAGACGATTCCTCGGATCCAGTCCTTCCGCTGCCCGTGTCGACAACATTGGGCAGGCTTGATGGAACGATCAGGTTCTTCACCGATGACTATACGCGGAACACCTTTCCCATCCTGGTGCAGCTAGGACAATCAGGATTTGTTACGATCGAAACCGAGTACGAGCAAAATCCCCATGGGCCCAAATCAGATATCTCAAGGAGCGAGTCGAATCGTCTCCGCCGAGCCTTCAGCCAATTCGAGACCTACAGACAGTTCTTTAGCCGATGTTCTTCGGACTTCAACCACGGTCCTCGACAGTGCTTTGGTGGACCGTCTCTGACCGTTTATGAACAAGCGAAAATGTTTTGTCAAGACATGCCGGCTTACCAAGCTGCCGAGATCGCCTGTGTTAGAGACTACCTGTATCGCCGTTTGCGAGGTGCGCATGATCAGGTGGAAGATGAGGTCGTACAAAAACTGCAGGCCGGATGTCCTGACCCCAGAGACAAGTACCAGGGCCTCGACTGGGACTGGGCTAATGGGGGGCGCCATCAATATCTGGCAGACGACGAGCACATCTTTGGCTACAGCGGCAAATACCTGCAGAACTTTCACATCGAATATCTTCTATCACTTGGACTACCTTACATCCGTAGAATACTGGAGTCGACTGGCGATAAGCGTCAAGACCTGCTGCTTCACACTGAATCCCGCTGTTATACCCATCACCAGACAAATTTTATCACAGCAGCTCTCGGTCTTGACCCTTTGGACAGCAATGACGATCAGTACGGTTGGTACGACAGAGATATAGATTCCTGCTTAGACGAGAACGGCAAGCTGGATCTTCCTCCTGGCTGGCTATGGGCACATACCGGAGGCTATTACCGTGGGCTTGTGGACGTAACTGCTAAAGGCCTGAGGGACTGGGGCTATGTCTTCTGGGATCTAGAAAGGCTTCAGGAGACCGGTGTTCTAGACCTGGAGTAAGTGTCCTTGTTCTACGTAGAGTGCGAAGCTGACTTCTGTACTGTCCGCGCGATGTGAGACGGATCGAGTTCGACGACTATCTGGCGAATAAAAAGCCAAGTGTCCACGAGCGCTGGATCGGCCCGAAACCATCTCGCACTAAAATCGAAGACGATGAACAAGAAGAACTTGACGAACAAGAAGAACATGATGAACAAGAAGGACATGATGAACAAGAAGGACATGATGAACAAGAAGGACATGATGAACAAGAAGAACATGATGAACAAGAGATGCCAGTGGAGTGAACAAGGCAGCCAGGTTGAAGTAGGAACGCAAGACAAAGATGCGACCTACAAGCTGCCATTAGCCCTCTCGTTGGCAGGGAAATGGCTCCGGGAGGCTGGGATTGCCATTCTACAGGCTGTAGACATCCGCTCGCGCCAGCAATCTTCTGAGAGGTTATCGAACATCCTGTGATGCAATCAGTCCGGCCATCATTTGATACTGATGGCCACGAAGGACTTTCAAGCAGTGTTAACGTCTCAATGTTCCTTGAAGCACAAAAGGCATGCGCAACGTTATCTGATATGCTTCCGTTCTCTTCAGTCCTCGATCGCAACCATGAACCAATATAACCTGCTGCTAACAAAGCGGAGCTACCCACGGGCGGATATTGCGATTGAGGCAAGGATGGTATGAGTCGAAGCCTATCGTAGATTCTGCATAGCCGTGTTAACTCTTCGTTGTAGTCTTCCATCTGTAATGAGCTCATGACAGACTGTCCATCACCCATTCCCCTCCTTGCCCGGAAAACAAAGATGCCGTTCAGAGATCAGCACATATCGCGGTTGAATGTGGAGGGGTCTGGCCCTAGTGATGGTGGGAATGCCACTGGATCTTTAAGAAGGAGCTTTCACCGCCAAAGAGATCATTTTGGCAGCGACTGTCACTATATTAATGATAGTTAGTCGATGTGTTTGTAGGCCGCCTAGGCAAACCTCGACGAAAGCTACGATAAGAACATACAGAAAATCATTTGCTTCTTCATCTCTATTCTCTCAATTCGTAATGCTTTGCTTGTTCTACAAAGACCTTACGATATAGCAAATGCCCATCTTCAGCTCGCTGGCATAAAAGTTCAGATCAAGTCCGCAGAAAGCTCGTGGAATAAAGACAGGACAGGTGCAATAGCTAATCAAGCACCGCTTCTGAATAAACAAAGCAAGGTCACAGTTTGGTCGTCGCAAACAGTCCTCCCTCCTCCCTTCTCGAGGCTTCTTGCCCTCAGCGACCGCCATATGCCTCGCCTGCCCCATCATCATCCTCTTCGGGAGGCGTGTCCAGCCTGTCACAGTAATAACCTGGCGGTGGGAGACCCTGATTCCTGCTCCTGGTATGCGGTTCAGTACTTTGTACTGGGCTATTGCTATAGCAGTCTACTGTGTCGTCGTCCCTGGGGTCGCTGTATTTCTTTCAGTATCTCGCAAAAGATGCAAGAAATGTCTATTCACTGGTGCATTGGGGTGTAATACTTACGATCGGAATCTTCGGTGTCGAGCATGGTCAGCTTGAACTTGTCCATGCTCCTGATAGGCTTGTTCCGCGCTATCCCAATGCCGCTGTTGGGCCGCCACACTGTGGTAGCCGTATTCCATGGTCAGAAGTCTTTCTCGATTGGTCGCGTTGCTAGATTACCTCAGTATAATCTGGACTGTTGAGACACAAGGTAGCTTACTGGTAGTTGGGGCCTTCCCGGTCCCTGGCGAGAGGCAAGAGGGTAGCATGATGACGTGGAAGCATACCGCCTGAGGTAGAGTCGTAGTATTCGCGCTGGTTGTAGCTAAGACTCTCATATTCTTCTGTCGCTGATTTTAATGTATCGCCGTACGCTTCCCGTGTTCTGTCTCTTTGCCGATTGCTGGTTGTATATTCCGCATGAATTCTGGCTCTCTCGCTACGGCGAGGAAAATGGGGGCTGCCGGTGTGCTGCCCGTCCACCAAGAGTTCTTCATGTCCGTATCGTTCTGCGTGATGGCGGGCAAAGCTTTCCTCTGAGTCTGAAGGATATGGTATGTTTTGCCGAAAAGAGGCCCCGTCTTGGGTACGAGTTGGCAAGTCGGGGCCTCTTTGGTGGTGTCCGCCCTCACCAGAACGACGATCGCGCTTCATGGAGACGGCGACTTCGAGCATTTACCAGTGAAGTCTCTTGGGATAATGAGAGTCTGTTTTCTTCCTGAATCGGGGGAGTGGCTATGGCGAAGAAAAATGAAATCTTTATAGTGATAACGAGCGCTCTTTATGATGATCAGCCTCCCGGAAGCGGGGATAGTAGCCCAGATCAATCCAATAACGCCAGGATACGAGCTTTGACTCTGTGTCATCTGGTCATTTCTTAGCAGTCACAACCTTCCGAATCAAGCCAGCATGATGTGTGTTGTTAGTGGATCGGAAGACAATTCACCTCGGCGTGCACTTTACCAAAGCTATTGATCAGCTGCCTCATTTCCTCAAGGTCTACCTATAGGAAACAGTGACGGTACAAGAGGAACAATGGGGACCAGTAAGAGGGGCGAGCCTGTCCATAGTGAAACTACTCTCAAACCTGCATGATTTTAGCCAGTTGCTGACGGCGCTTCCCTACCGACTGCAGTTCGCCACGCCGAGATGCGTCTCTTGCTACCTTCGGTGCTCAACACAAAGCTGGTCACTGGACACGGGGAAGCTCCTATACGAATTTGTGATTGGAGTACCTTTGAAATAGTAACGGAATCAAAGCCCATCCCAGTTGTCACCTTTGGTAGGCCAAGCGCTGATAGCTATACAGTCATCTCCCTACGCAAGTGTCTTTAAATTACGTCTATCCTCTATCGGTGTTCAATACGTCCTTCAACTGACCTCCTAGGCTAGTATCACTTGGCACTGTGCAGGCGCCTTTCCGGATCTTAGCATTTTCGTCCTTCACTGTGCGGGTGTGAAAGCTCAAAAATGGAGCATGAGCTGAGTGTCTTACTAAGGACTGACAGATATAGTGAGGATCGTCTCCTCATTCAGCTAGTTCTGTGACTACGTAGCCATGAAAATGTTGTAGGCTGTGATTGGTGATGGTTAAAAAATTTGGTTCCCTCTCCTGCAAGTGAACGGCTGAAAAGCGCCAAGCTTTCGACTTCACGGGTTAACCACCGTATCTAACCTTTCTAAGTTAGCTCCTTCGGCTGCCAAGGCAAAGCAAAGCGCCCGTGACTCTTGAGAATCGCTCACCCGACTTACAACACATTTACACGCCACAAACATCAACACCACCTCCCTCTTCACCAATCAGGCCGCTTACACAAGCCCTTTTCCGAGATCCTCCCAATACACCCTCAAAACTTGGGTTTCGGGTTTTCTGTGCATTCGCTGAGCTCACTCATCTTCATCATTATGCCCGGACAAAGCGCCTTAGAGCTGCTTTCACCAGAGCTACAGCAGCAGATTCTATTGCAAATAGGTACCCTTGATATTCTATATGCTCTCATCCGCGCATCACCCCGCCTTTACCAAGTCTTCCGATATAACAAAGAAACCACTCTTTTAACAATAGCGCTATGTCAATTCCACCCAGCTGTGCAGCCAGAAGCTGTGGCCCTTGCAGAATTGGCGCAGATCCAGCACCAGTCAAAACGAGATACTCAGTCACAACGAGATACCGCCGTGAGCTTCTGCGACACGTTCCCCGACCAGATACATCGGTGGTACGAATCAAATGCCTCAGGATCTTTGTCAACAAATTTATGCAAGCTTGATCGACTTGTCAAAATATTCATAGACGACTATGCTCAAAACACTCTTCCCGTGCTGGATCAGCTAGGACATTCCCAAGATTGTAGAATTCTGCCGGAGTACAATCACGTCCAACAACTTCATCTTTCAACCACCGAGATTGGGAGACTCCAAAGGGCCTTCTGCCGCTTCGAGCTCTACAGGCACCTCTTCTCTCGCTGTACACAGGACTTTTCTAATGGCGTCCACCAATGCATCAGAGATCCGCCTCTAACCACTGCAGAGCAGGCAAAAATGTTTCTTGAGGACTTACCCGCATTCCAGATCTCTGAGATAGCATGCATTAGAGATTACCTATTCCGCCGTTTACGCGGCATCTACGACAGAATAGAGGACGAGGCTGTGCGAACTCTGCCAATCGAGGCAATGACCTTTGAGGAATCTGATGAATCAGCTATGTGGGAATCGCCATTCTACATGCTTACCAACCGTGCTCAACACGAACAAGAAGAGCACTTGGAACACCTCATGTCGCTGGGGCTACCCTACATTCGTCAAATACTTGAATCAACTGGGAATGAACAGCGAGACCTGTTTCTCCATTACGTCTCCAGCTCTGTGCTTCATCATCTAGAGGGAGACTTCCTCTCCAGGGCGTTTGAGCGCTTAGGCCTCAACCCGGATGCCCGCCGTGATTGCCAACGCTTTTTGGACACAGAGAAAGACTTTAGCCCAGCATGTGATGAGAATGGCTACTCAGAGCTTCCCCAAGGCTGGCTATGGGCCCATCATCATCTACAGCCATCAAGACTTATCGATCCTGCGTACAAAGGTCTACGAGACTGGGGCTATGTGTTCTGGGACTATGACAGACTCCAGAAGTCTGGGATCTTGCGGCGAGAGTAAGTCACTCGGACCTTCGCTCCTAGATGACGTGCTGACCTCTGTATAGCTCGCACGAAGTGAGGATGATCCGCTTCTCGGACTACGTCGGTCGATTCAAACTAAGTGTTGAGCAGCGCTTGCACGCTCTACATCCTCCCGTCACACACTCCGGATACGGAAGCGATGGTCAGGAGCAGTCACCGGAAGATCATGAGGAGGCGAGTGTCTCTTCGCTGGACGACTCAATAGACTGGGACGCAGATGAAGTAGTGCTAGTGAATTATTGAGGGCTCGATGGAGATACGCCGAACCGTATTGCAACGGTCGCTACCATTCATTGTTGTGCGCATCAAATCCTGCCAGCAATGGTACAGGGGTCAAGGACAAATGTCAGCATAGCCCGCCCAGATACAATCAATGATAGCAATCTTCGCTTGATACCTTGCGCGATGCGATGTGTTGTCAATGAAATAGAGATATCTAGGGCGAAGGCCACGATCCCGCTAAAAGGTGACATGGACCAAAGAAAAATACTACACAGCCCTTCTGACGCCTGTTACTTTCTACGAACCATGAAGAGGGTCTTCTGGCTGCAACAAGCCAACGCTAGAGTGTACCAGTGCCAGGTTATCTCACCCCAGAAAGCCCCTATCTATCTCCTCTGTGTGCCTTTAACGCTGCTAACCCCTGCTTGCGGCTCGTAGTGCTTTCATGTGTACATCGGCCACAGAGACCTTCACTTCATCTTTGATCCCAGGACCATTGACGACTACTGCCAATCAGCTGTGTGGAAGCCTACTCTACGAACGCTTATCCGCTGATAGCCCTGAGCAGGCTAATACCGTGACGATGGTCTTGGCCTATGACCTTCCAGCTTCCCAGGTTCTACCACAGTGGCGCGTCATCGACCTAGCAACGTCTCAGACAACATATGTTGCGCGAAACTCTGATTTACAACAGTGCCACCACATGCACACAAGTAGCATACACATGGATCGACTCGGATCACAGCCATTACATCATGACAGCCGCGCTTCAAATCTACATGCAAGGCTTCACGAACACGACCGCCGACTTCCCGCGAGACCCGAATCACTACAGCGGCTACCCAATCCTGCTCTTTAAACAGAGTACCCCCGGCTACGTCTGAGGTGATCCATTCGAGCATGGAAAACCCCGCGCAATAATGCCCGGAAAGGCCCTATTCTAGAACGTCTCCGGTCCATCCCAGAGCACCACCTCCACGGAAAATGACGGAAACCTCCGGTGAGTAAAGATCAACCGCATCTGGCGCTCGCCTACTTCCGCTGCATTCGCCCACTTGCACACTGCGGAGCAAACACTCCCTGATTGGACCCCTGCACTTGAGCCGCAAGACATGCCTCGCGAGCAATAGGACGACTTCAACTCCCAAAGTACCTTGAGAACCTGGATTTTATGCCTCAAAAAAGCCATGCTAACTCCGAAACATTCAGAGTTGATGCGATTGCGGACGTGTTCCCTTCCATCATGGAATGGCATTTGCACGTACAGCTAGTATGTGTAGGCCCCGTAATCGACCTTTACGGCAAGTTTGCGGCCATCAAATTCGCACGAAAGATGAAAGTATACCCGGGAAGGGTCTTCTCACAGCCCGAATTCACTGCACTTCCACCATATATATTCAGTGGGGCGGATTTTGCTTTGATGCCTAGTAGAGACGAGCCATGCCTCGGCGTGGTTTTGGGTCGCGTTGCTGTTTCAGCTGGCCGTGCCGATCGGGTTTGGAGCTTTCTTCCGGAAGGAACAATTAAGCAAGGCATGAAAGTGGAGGACGGGGTGGAAGGTAGATAGATGGAGGTGATAATATTGAGTAAGTTCCGTGCGTCTGGGTGTGCGGGAAAGAGGTTATCGATCATAGAAGTGGCGAAGAAAAGTTGTGATGTTAGCGTTTTGTGAAGTAGTGGAAATTATTGGGGAAGTTACAGTGGCGATGGTTTAACGAAAAGCTATATAGAGGTGTTGGACTTGCGCAATGTAAGAAAAGAGTCTTGATGTCGATGCGAGAATTCGTACCCTTCCAACTATCACTATCCTCATCGGCACCTTGCCTGATCCGCAGCTCCACCGGATGATTTCACGACTTACGGTACCTCTAGAAGAATTGCGGGTCTCAATGAAGAATTGTCAGCTTGCGAAACAGAGACCAGTCCGAGGAGCAGAACTAGATCCTACAAGGCGCAAACCCGAAGTGAGAATGTGGCATCCGATTTGGGCAGGAAGTGCGGCTGAGACGCGAAGGATTCGAAGTATTCCACGGATTGGAGGCGTACCCAAACGCAACAAAACGTGTACCATATGAATTTATACATTTTGCTCCTTTGTTGCTTGCTCAGCGCGCCCTATTTGATGGCCCATAATCGTGCCACGTACTTAGCTCGCTCAGCGAGTATCCGTGTGCGCTTCTGGTGGGGGTTTGGTACTTCCGGGGTTTACTATTATGGGGACTGCGAAGAGAGAGTTGGGGAATTGGAATGCGAGTGCGCTTTTGCTTTGATTCCACGGGCTAGGGGAGATGGGTGGAGAGGACTCGAGGGATGTGGTTGAATGGAGGAGAGGACGTGGGTTGTAGGGTTTGCCAAACAACAAGTATGGCATTTCTCGAGCACAACATGTCCCTGCGCCGCTAAACGTACTACCGAGGAAGATATCACGACTCCCGCCACTCCATAAAAGGAAAGGTGCTAACAAATCAGCAAGATTTCGCGGAGAGATTTCCAAGCCATCGCACCGTTCATGCACCTTCCACGTTTCGCGGGTCAACGACTTTGCCCGGGTACTGTACACTACTACAGTACTGTAGACATTTCCATATTCCTTCGTATCGTCATATCAAGACCAAAGGCAATGCGCCTACACGACAAAAATAATCGCTTACTTACTTTCACGACTCAATGGCAATCCTGATCGCGGGAAGAGTCCAGCGGCCGAAATCCTTTAAGCATGATTGGCCAAAACGACGATAAAAAGTACGAATAACCTGGGATCATCAAAGGCAGCGGCATCTTATCTGCATGCTTACATTCCTCGCCGCACCGTTACCGAAGATAGCAATTGAAGAGCTCCCTAACGACGTCACGCTGAAGGATCTCAAACCTGACAATCTCATGGCTGCATCTTTGCGACTCGTTTCATTTCATTCTTTCTTTCGGAGCAATTGAAACCAACCCGACAGGTATATACCAAAAAGCGCCTGCAGGAGACTAAGGTACCTTAAGCAATAGTATCTTACCTTAGTACTTTGTTATATAGCGTGCGATAAGACACGCGACTCCAGGCTAGCCGAAACAAAGCTAGCGAGCATAATCTGCCAAGAGCCGAGCCCATCATGGCAATGGAGAACCTGAACCAAGATCGGGGAATGGCAAGATCTGAAAGCGCACGGCCACGATCCGGAAAAGATAGATGGTGTCGACCGAAGGACTTCAATTGTACAGGGTGGAGAAGTAATCAACGCATCCGGGCATAGGGATCAACTGCAGCGACATTATGGCCTCCTCAGCATCTGCGGGTTGGCGCTTACCATCGACAATGCATGGGTCGCATTGGGCGGCTCCATTGCTGTTTCTATAAGTACGTGACCCCGGATGTTGGAGAAAGTGCAAGCACTGATGAGTCTGTAGATAATGGAGGACCAGCTGGTGTTCTCTATGAACTCCTAGTTGCATGCTTCTATTATGGCTTTATTGCTGCATCTATCGCCGAGGTACATGCGTCGACCATACTTCCACTTTGAGTCCTTTGCTGACGTTCCTATTGCTCACCTCCTCTATTCCTTCCGCTGGCGGCGTCTACCACTGGGCCTCCGTGACCCCCGGCCCCCGCTACGGCCGCGTCCTCGGCTTCTTCACCGGCTCCCTCAATTTCTTTGGCTGGATATTCGACCTCGCCTCTATCGTCTCCATCCCCTCCAATGTAGCCGTACAAATGTACGCAGTCTTCCACCCAGACCTCATCATCAAACCATGGCACGTCTATGTCGCTTTCATTCTAATCACCTGGTCTTGCTGCGCGCTTGTGGTATTTGGAAATCGTTTATTGCCAGTGTTGAACCAAATCGGGTTGTTTCTGGTGATTGTTGGTGGACTTGTGACCATCATCGTAGTCGCAGCCATGCCGAAAGTACATGCCAGCAACTCGGCTGTATGGGGCGACTTCAGCCAGAACAATGCTGCAGGCTGGAGCAATGGTGTTACCTTCTTGACTGGCGTGCTCAATGGTGCCTTTACAATTGGCACGCCAGATGCAGTAACCCACATGTCGGAGGAGTTGCCGAATCCAGCCCGAGACATGCCTCGGGCTGTGGGAGCACAGATCATCTTGGGCACACTAAGTATGTTCCCACCAAGCTCATCGCAATGTATCGCTCTAATGGGTCTTAGCGTCTTTCCTCTACGCCATCGCTATCCTCTACGGCGTCAACGACCTAACAGCGGTCGTCGGCAGCAACGGATCCTTTCCGCTCGCAGTCGTCTACTCCCAAGCTACTGGCAACAAGGGCGCCACTTTCGGCCTGCTTTTAATTCTCTTTCTCTCCATCATGATCTGTGTGCTCGGCACTTTCCTCACGGTATGCCTTCCACACTCCGAGCAACCCACACTACCATCCTATAACGCCCTTAGGTCGGTCGAATATGGTGGGCCCTAGCCCGCGACAACGCGACGCCTTTCTCGGGCTTCTTCTCGCAAGTCAACGAAAAGCTCAGTTGTCCTGTCCCCGCCACAGTCCTCGCTGCCTTCCTGTGCACCTGTTTCGGCGCTATTCAGCTAGGGAGCAAAACAGCGTTTACCGACTTAGTCGGATCATTTATCATCCTCACAACCATGTCGTACGCACTCGCCATCGGGCCGCATCTGTTCACCGGACGAAAGAATGTTCCCAAAGGGCCGTTCTGGATGGGTTCAGCCGGTTATGCTGTGAACGCCATCGCTGTGCTATTGATTGTATTCTTCAACATCATGTTCTGCTTCCGTAAGTCGGTCGAGCTTGTGAGCATTGCCAACTACTGACGCCATGGGTGTGTACAGCATACGTATACCCGACCACCGAGTCCACTATGAACTACAACAGCGTAATCCTAGTCGGTGTACTCATTGTCACCATAGCGTGGTGGTTCATCCATGCTCGGACTAAGTATCCTGGGCCAAAGCTGGCGAATCTTTATGTTGACGGGCAAATCGTCGAACTGCCGAAGGATGCGCATACGGATTAGCGGGTGTCTGTGTATTAAACAACTTATCGATGTGTGAAGATTGCAAGGAGATACGTGGTCGGATGATGTACATATATATTCTTTCCTTCGAGGTCCGAGTCCGTTCCGTTGTACTTTGGTGGAGTGACAAGCATTTCTATGCCGTGTTTCCAGCTTGAAGTATCCTCAAAGCCTAGTCCGTTTCCCAAATCGCGCATCCCTATATCGCATGCTTTCTAGCCCCTCAAGTTCGTCGAATATATAATGTTGGAAATAATAGGTAGGAAGAACCCTCCAATCTATTCAACAGCCAACAAGAAGGGGCCATCCAACCTCCTACATGTGCAACTTTCGAAGTCTCAAGGAAAAACATTCTTCTCACAAGCTACCTTGTCGGGCACTTTTTGTAAAGTCATTTGTCCTCAGCACCCAGGCTAGGATTGTACGAGGAACCCCTGAAGTCGGTCCTTCGACCACCACGCGTGATTTACACTCTAGGAGATCTACAGATAGTCAATGGTAGCGGGACATGAAAGCCCATGCTGGGAGAAGAAGATCTGAGTTGTGGCAAATAAAACAAAGTACCTTCATTGTACAAGACAATATCTTCGAGACCGGTCTTGCCAGCTTCTGTATACTGCTAGTGAGCAGCTGCAGTAGGGACAGTGGACCGAGCGCCTAAGCAAGAAACCAGTGTGCTTTTGAGCTCCTCTCCACTATTTCCGTCCGCTGTGAGCTCACAGCCCATAGTTTCATTGCCCGTTCCCACCTCATGACTTTGAACACACAGGATGAGGATGAGTGACAATCATGACCCTGAGCCTCTGACCGTCGTCAGAAGGGCATATGCAGGAGTTGGATTCTACGCAAGTCCATGCAGGTCTGTGAAAATCGATGCGGGTTGTGCATTGGCGAGCACAGCTTTCCGCTCTCTCATAGGCTACCGAACAAGCGCTCCGCCACCCTCCCATTCCTTCCTGTCAGCCTCGCAGCCTTGAGAACCCTGGGCAAAACTGCGATGTCCCGCTGTCCCCATTCTTCTATACTTTAGATGGAAAAGCTCCCATTTTTGAGCTTGGCGATAAAAAGTCAGCTTGTATGCCTACCCTCTTCTCATACCTGTGGTCAGTCATCTGGGCTGGACTTCATGGAAAGCAGGCAGATCAGCTATATGACACCTCGCATGCCGCCCTAGATCCCAAGCAGATATGTATCGACAGCCTGTGTGGGCGCAAGTAATGATCTGTTCGATCTCGTCACGCATCACACTAGCACCAGAGCATATGGAGGATACAAGCAAGTCGCTGGGCTATCTCGACGCCGAGGATAGCAGCTAAACAAAGACCTCAACAGACATGTTTTCGTACCCCAGCGCCACGAAAGTCCCAAGCACCCAAAACGAAGAAGACGTCCCTAGCTGGAATCGCCAGCATCAGCGCTAAAGGTACAATGCATACTGATACCGATGTGATGCGATGACAGTGTGGCTCGGAGTATGTTTGAGTGGTAATCCGTCGGCTATGTGCCTCGAATTTTGTCCAATCAAATTTGCGATGGGCCGAGTGTCTTCGGCCGAATGGGACGGCCGTGGTGGTATTGGGCCTAGATTTCCTATCCTAAAATGAGATAGCCGTAGGGCTAGGAATCTATCCTCTGGAATGCGGTAGGCAGCGTGTTCTGCGGCCGAACACGATGGCCGTAGGCCCAGAGATCATGTCCTGAGAGGCGATGGCCGTGGGTCAAGTGTGCCCTGACAGCCATGTGCTCTCAATGGCCGTGTGCTCTTGACAGCCGTGTGCCTCTAGCCATGTGCCCTGCTAACCGTATGCCTTGTATGAAAATCCGTCTAGTCCTAAACATCCGTCCTCGCTGGCCTCATTACCCCTCAAAACCCCCACAAGAAAACAAGGGAAACAGTACCAGCTCGCTCGATGCCCAGCTTGACGATCACACCACCTCTCAAGAGTAGCGTCCCTGTATCTGCATCAATCAGTCTCTGTAAAAGACCGACATCGTAGCGACTCAGCCTGTACGCCCTGTAAGCTGGGCCACAAACGGATGCTCTAGCGCTGAAAGCCGCCGATGACAAAGAACGTAATGGCTCCGAAAAAGATGAAATCGAATGAAGAGCCACTCGGTGATACGGAACGGCTGGGTTTGTAGCTCGTAGCGGACAGATGTTCTCCTATCCTTGAGAGGGTATCTGAAGTCCGCCTCGGTCAGTGAAGGCAGACGGCGTTAGTTACAAAGATACTGCACCAAATCGAAACACGTTCTCCACCTTGTACTTTCCCGCCGAGTTCAAAACGCCGAGGCGAGTTATTTTAATTCACGGCCAACGTGACAGTGAAGGGCTGGATTCCTATTTTGAAGTGGCGCGTTGCAGGCACGCACAGCTCATGAACCATCTCGCAGACGGAGAACAATAATATGACAATTTGAACTACCTGAAGGAGATTCGTTACGAAGCATCCAAGCATTGAGCATACACCAGACTCTCGCCTCCCTTATCCTACAAATACCCCTCCTCACCCTGGCCCCAACGCCCCCCGCCCCCCCAACCCCTAACCAAACACCGCCTACCAAACCGTCGGTCCAAAGAACCTCCCCGGAGCAGTCGGGTTCGGATTCGGAATCTTGACCGCCGTATCCAGATTATCCATATTGTTGTTCGCGACGCTCACCCCCCACCAGGACGGCATAGACGTATTCGTCAAATTGACCGTCAGGATGATGACAATCGTGCAAATAGCCAGACCCGTATCCAGACCCGCGGACGTGATGTAATTAAAGCGCATCCACCAGCCTCTGTACTTGTTCCTGATGTGTTTGTTGAAGACGTAGCCCACGATGCCCCAAGCGAGGTAATTGAGAGGAGTAGCCGGTGGGATATCGCCACTGCCGCCGAAGATGAGGGGAGCGGAGAGGTAGCGGAACGGAGCGCGGGGAAAGGCGCGAGCGAGGGCGTAGAAGAGGACTGGTGCCAGCGCGCCGGCCATCCAGAACCACTGGAGGTTGGCGTAGATGGATCCAGGGGAGAAGATGCGCTGTGGGCCGATGAGACCCCATATAACGGAAGCATTGAAGAAGACCCGACCATTGGGGCAATTGAACTTGTTGACCTGGTGCTCTGTGCAAACATCTACGATGGCACCGCCAAGAGCCCATTCGAGGACTGCGACTTGAACGATGCAAGCCCAGATGGTAGCGATAGTCTGCGCCATGAACATGGAACGCCATGGGATCTTCATGTACTGGCCTAGTTTCAGGTCTTGTGTGAAATAGAGACCTTGAGCCATTGTGATGTAGCCGTAGGTCTTAAAGAGCATCATGGCCACTGGACGGCCTGGCTGGATGTATCCGGTGATGAACTCCCTGCAAATGTATGAGTCTGGTGCGCTCTAGTTGATGGTTCAGAGGTTTGCGGAACTTACGTAAAGACATTCAGTCCAAGTTGGATACTTGTCATGCCCTGAATGAGACCGATGGGGACGAACCAGATGATGGAAATGATGATGGATATGAAAAAAGCCCACCAGTGCATATTGGTTGGATATCCTAAGCACACCCCCAGAGATATACCGATCATGATGATGAACATCGCCGCGTACCACCACTGGGGTACATCTTTGTATTTTCGCATCATTCTGGAAGAACATGGAGTCAGCACCGCCTCTCATAAACACAACCCGACCTCAAAAGGCGACCCGTAGACCCCATGGGAAGCTGCAGAACTGCTCCGCCCCGAACACGTGTTCCTGGGTCGATGAAGCGATGGGGAAACTCGGGAAGTGTTCTTACCTTAGATGCACGTCTTCATCATCGGTCCGGATGTTTCGCACCCTCTTCCACAGATCTCCACCATGAAACAGCGCGGTTTGAACAATTACAGCCGCAATCGCTGCAAAAGAGAGACCATACGTCAGGGCGAAGGTGGTAGAGAGAAACAGCGGCGAGTATGCCTTGTAGGCATCCAAATCCAGAGTGTAATTCGGCGTCAAGATGTTGGTGACATTGTAGAGGTTTCCGGTATTGTCATATGCCTGAGAGTCGCTCATCGGGAGGTAATTACCGTACCAGGTATTCGTATAATGGACCCCAATTGTAGTGATCCACCAGAATATGACGCAACCAATCAACGTATTGGATATCGCGTGCCACGGTGGAATAAGAGGACTATAGGCGTATGCGGTGATTTGAGTCCAGTCGAAAGTGATTGGCAATAGCGAGACTCCGGTCCATCCGCCAAATAGCTGGTTTACCACAACGTTATTGGGGCGAATCCAGACCGCGAATGCAAAGACGCTGAGGAAAGGCGCGATGAAGCCAGGGAACCAGTACCAGCAGAAGGAACAGGTGAAGACGATGAAGAAGTATTTGTAACGGGAAATTCTCCAACCGTTGCACTTGGCCGGGTCGGTCTCCGACTTATCGTGGAGACTGTAAAACAAAGCAGTGTTGATCAAAGTAGTGGGCCAGATCATAGCAGCTGCATGCCTTTAGAATAGATCATGCGAGATGCAGCAGGATCGATTTACCTGGCCAGACCAAGACCCTGCGAAAGATTCCTGCGAGGCCGTATCCCATCATCTGAGTCGTTATACATAGTAGAATGTTGAATCCCCATCCGAAATTCTGACCATAAAATCCTCTTTGTGCAGTAAGGGTATCCGTGGCATATGCCACACCACCTAGCAGACATTAGCGTCTGCCGCAGATGCTGCGCTCTTTCGCACGAGAGGTGTCTTACCCGCAACATTGACATTGGCCATGACCACGATGATGGTATGCTCTTTCATGTTGAACGGCCCGTTGTTCAAAGTGAATGACTTCCCAAAAAGGCGGAACTTGCGTTTGGGCATGGCTTGATACCATGCCACACCGAGGGGATATGCGACTAACTGGACCGTCAAGGAAGTGATGGTGATGGCAGGCTGGCGCAAAGCGAAAAGCGCGTTTAGGCCGGAGGCGATTGTGGTCAAGAGCATTCCGAGTACCCAAGCGCGGACAGTGTTTACAGGAACATCCTCGTCGTACTGCGAACCCTGTTCAGCATGCGTAAATGTGCAGTGTTCAAGGAAAACTCACATTTCGGACTGCGCCGCGAACTTCAGGGTACGGCGAATTCTCGATAAGCTCATCGACCAATCGAACTTCCCCGCCAATGTCGTGTTGTTGGGTGGCCTCGTCAATGTTGTCTACGAGGTCTTCCGCAAAATTGGGATCCCATTCGTGTTTCTTCTTGATCGCCTTGAGTTGCGCAGCGGTTTCCAGCTCGTCGCCAGGTGTTAGATCAGCCCCACTGGCTTTGATGGCGACTGGGTCCTTTTCTTTGACATCTTCATTTGAGCCAGATCCCAGGTCCTCAGACCGAACAGGGCTCGCGTTCTTGCCAAAGCGCTTTGTGAAGAAAGACATTGTGGCCGTCAAACTCGAAGGTTGAGAGGAGGAAGGAATTGCGCGTGGGAATCGTCTCTGATTTAAGTATGTGCGATAGGAGACGTATCGTATTCGCGAGGTGCGTTATCTCTTCGGATGGCCGTAGCTGCATCTACATCACCTGCCCATTAGGAAGCAAGGGTTTCTCACGCACAGCTCGCCACAGGTCGGGGTAAGCAGTAATTCGATAGCTGTTGGGAGCTGCGAAGCTATCTTGATAGTCGATAGGCTATCCATCCCTCCGTTATCCTTCCCGGGCCCGTGGGGGGAGGGGGTCCTAGTAGGACCCCTCTTTGTTTCGAGAAGCAGGCCAGACCAGACGGTATTATGCGTGCATGACATTAGTGCATTAGGATCCTCGAGTGATTGGATCAGAGTGCAGCGATAGGCAAATGCCAGGAGATAAGATAGAGCACATCAGAAGAAAGTCGAGTGTTGCATCGTCCCCAGTCTTGGCAGGTAAGCGCGGGAAGGATCAGCAAAGGTGCGCCGGAATTCATTCATGCCCACCTTCCTTTCTTGGCCCGTTTCCTCCGATCCTGGACGCCTAGTGCAAATCACTTTCAAATCCGTGGTCGACGCTCGCGGTGACCGAGGAAAACATCAATTCAGTAAAGACAGCCTCTGTTCCGAATTCGAAACAGTGTTGGAAGCTGCGATGCATCAAGCTTCCAAACTCAATGCTCCTTGACACCGGCTCGGAAGATAGTCTGCTTCTAGATTCGTCCGTGAATTAGCTCGCGGCGGGGAAAGATTTCACCAGAGGATTCTGTTGCTGCCAGTAGCAGTAGCAGAGGGATTTTGCACCCCCTGCAATTATTGTCGCTTGTCTTCGCTTGGTATTAGAACATATTGCATAATCCCTCTAGTAGAGTACAAGTTTCTTAAATACCTGATGGTGAGGGTCTCTGCGACTCGGCTTGGACAATGTCGGACAGCCTCGGCACGATGAAAAGCGTATATCTTGGCCAGTAACACTGCTCCGAAATTCTCATTCCTCGTATCGCTTAACTCATCCTCCCGGACCGGGAGATCCCTGCTCACAGAACCCATGTTCGCGCGGCAAGTACGGGACTCTCGTATTTGAAAATGTTCTCAAGGGCTAGTACCGGAGCAATTGACTCGATCTACGATCAGCGCCCAAATTTCTCTTTTTCTTTTTCTTTTGACGCGAATGGCGCTCTGTTGCTCTGATATAAATGGAACAGACCGCGTTAGCATATCATTACATCGCCTCGGCCCTTCTCGTCTCATCTTGGCTTCCGTGCGGAATTGGAGAGCTGACTTGTCTAAGTCTTTGGGACGGCCGTCCGTATAAGCCTCGTAAGCATTAACGTGCAAGTCTCTCGTTCAATCTCACCGCTTCTTTCCAGTTCTCTTTGATCCACGGGACCAAAATCTTATTCACCGTGTCAGCATCCAGGGCCGAACCCCTTTCCAGCGACTGATCCGCCTCCACCCTGAGTCGCGGCTGGCCATCGTTCCACCACAACAAGGCTTTGAGCGCCATCATCGCTTGGCCAAGCTCTTCGCCCTGTAGCGGAAGTACCCTCTCAACCTCTTTCCACAACACGCCTCTCCAGGTCCTCCTCCTATGATCTTCCAACATTTTCTGGTACTCTTCATGCTTGTTGAATCCTAGCAGCGCTTTATTGAGGACGTCTTTCCTTTGATCAGTCGGAGAGATTCCTGTATTTACTTCTTCTGCAGGCTTGTCGCTTCGAATATGCGCAGTTGCCGAGGTGGAGGCATCAGCTGATATAGGAACTTTTGCTCGAGCATCACAACACTCAACTCCTTCTGGGGGTGCGGTACCCGCATGTAACGTCATTCTCTGAGGCAGCCATTCCGTCACGAATTTCGAGTACATTGGTCTCTTTTCTCTAATACGTCTTTGTTTCCCACTGACAGTCTCCTTGTCAAAGAATTTGCTTCGGAACAAGGGCATTGAGATAGCCCACTCAAAGAGCTCATTCAGAGTAGAGAATCCATTGTCATATCGAGGGCCATTCAAGCCTAAGAACTTCATCATCTCTTCAGGGTAGCTTGTCAGAAGCAATAGGCAGTCTTTCTTGTTCGTTCCTTCGGTCTGAACACGAGCGTGCAGGCCAGAGTCATTAATCGCCAGCCCAAAGCGAGTCACCGTGGACCCAATAATATGCCAAATGTCGCCGTATGCATGAACGACACTCTCCCACTCAAAACACCCCTTCTTGCAGAGATAGACATCGAGCTGGAAGAAATTGTCACTGTCTTCTGGTATTCGGATGGCAAAAGAGCTAGTACGCCCAGCTTTTGTGTGCGCGGCAGCCCCTAGTGCCCGCTCAAGATCCTGACCAGTGAAGTTGAACAAAGGCTCATCGACTAGAACGTCTATGTCGCCATGGTCGCCTTTTCCTGGGGCTTCTGAGGGTACAACGGCACGGGTGTAGAACTTCATAACTATACTGTCGAAAAATCAGCAAATCATGATTGGATAGCAAGGTGGGAGCTAGCGAACGTTTGGTAGTGATCTCGCAGCATGATATACTGCTCTGTTGGCAAACGGACAACATTCAGCGGATTGGGCCCTGAGCGAAATGCGTGTCCGCCCATCTTGGTGAGATCTCAGATGTCGAAGCTGCTCGAGTCTTAGATCGAGAGCACAATTGTGCTGGATGGAAAGAGCTCTGGTCTTAAGGAGATGGCCTTCGCGCTACTCGATGTAGCGCGATTTATCCCTTAATTTCTGTCAAACAGTGATGAGCAGGAGATAATATGATGCTATTGATGTATATTATGCAAATTTAGGGGCATACGGACTATGCTTTCGTTCAAGGAGAAGATGAGAATTCAAGGCTAAGGTTGTCAAAGTTGAAAAGCAGTATGACTCATGTTTGCCGGCAAAATCTGCCTGCCAAGCCTTCTTGCGAAATCGGAAAGAGCCTCTGCCTAGCAACAGTGGCATGTAACAATGAGAGAAAGTGGTACTTTATGATGTACAGCCTTAAGATACAGAATGTCAACGTTCAATGATAGATCTAGCAACAGAAGTGTTCATTTACTGGCCCAGCCTCCCCCATAAGACGAGTCAAATCAACGCCGAGGTATGCCCCTTTTCTTGACGAGGTGTCGTGTCTTTGTAGGCTTACGATGATCTTAGTCTGTCCATGATAGGTAATCTAATGAAAAAGCAAAGGAAAGGGCTTGCCACTGAATATGGGCTCGGTGACATTAGTAGATATGGGGTGCGCTTTGATCAGAGTAGATGTTGTCTGCAAGACTACGCCCCCCTGTTCGCCAGGGTTTACTAGTTAACTCGTCGTCAATAAGTATGACAATCTTGCCTCCTGCTCTATCCTCGTCCATACACCTGTGCGCCTCGTTGACCTTGTCGAGGCCGACGAAAACCTTTCCAATGAGGGCCTTGATTCTCTCGGTCCCAAGCTGAGTGACGATCTCGTCCAGCGGGGTCTCGATCAAAGCCTTCGCACTACTATGGTAAGCGGTAAGACTGACCGCCGTCGGAATCGATACCATAGGACTGAACTCATCATCAAAGGCCCATTTCCCGCTGACTGAGCCCACCATACACACTGTCCCGCCTTCCTCAACGCACTGGAGCGAGTCCCTCAAGGTAGTGACGCCTACCATCTCCAGCACCTTGTTAAACCCTTCAGTTTGTTCAATCTGGTCCGCGACAGAACCGTTGTCGACGAATACCTGCTCGGCACCATTGGCACGCAGTAATTGCTCGCGCTCTGGTTTTCGAGTGGTAGCAGCGACGAACGCGCCCTGAGACTTCGCAATGGCAGCGGCAGCCAGCCCCACGGATGTAGTCCCTCCCCGGATCAGCAAGCGGTCGTTCTTCTGGAGCCTGAGGGCCTTGAATAACGCGCCCCATGTCGTCTGCATCATTTCAGGCAATGCACCAAGCATCTCCCAAGAGATTTTGTCTGCGGATTTGACGACCTGGACCTGCGATGCGGGCACAACAGTGTACTCTGCGTATCCGCCATCGAATTCTCGACCCATACCTCCCATAGCTGTTGCAACTACATCGCCTTCTTTGAACTTGTCTTCATTTCCTGGGGCCTCCTCGATGACACCAGCTGCCTCGATTCCGAGGATTCGTGGGAATTTGACTGTAGGTGAGTGACCTTGCCGAGTGAACATTTCCGAGCGGTTGAGGCCGAACGCTTTGATGCGGATTAGCACCTGGCCTTTCTCCTACAAACGATCAGCATCATCAGCCGCATACCGCAATTTCTTTAGTGACCTACGGGTTTTGGGATTTGACGCCTCTCTACTTTAAAGACCTCCGGTCCTCCTACTTCGTACACTACGGCAGCCATCATGAAGCCATCATTAGGCCTTCGACTGGCCATTGTGTTTACAGACTTTGCAGAGTAAGAAATATTCGCTAAGTGATAGAAAGGGTTCTGTGAGTACCGAGGACAATAAGTCAGACTGCGAGGTACCAAGCCTTGGACTCATAGAGACTTAGATGAGTGACAAAGATGGAACAAAGGGCTCATGATGACCACGAATCAGCTGGGTTTAATAAGTCTTTGTCCTTAATCTTATATGTATATCCATGAGATTTTGTATCGATGAGGGACTGCGAGAGTTGCAGCCTGCGAAGGATTTGTCAGCCTTACTCGTATGGGCTATTCATACGAGTACGAGTACTCTTAATCTTATCTCCGAGGCCGAGCTCGGAGGATTGGCCTCGGAAAGAGAAGAAAATTCTCAATCGAACCTATCAACAAGTCTCAATACTTTATCACTACATTGTCTGTTGAGTGTCTGTATACAATGATTGTGCACGGTGCTAATTCACCCACCAAGTCACAAACGCAGCCAGCAAATCGCGTCTCAAAGCCGTGTTAGAGTAGAATGTTTCCTCGACATGCCTAAGAGGAACTCCCAACCCCTCAGGATGCTAGACGGTGACCAAGAACACAACGAAGCGCGCCTCAGTCTTTGGCAGCTTATCAACCTGCTAGCGATGAGCACGAACAAGCCGCCTGGGAGAGGATGTTCTAAAGCTTCCCAACCATGGCCGCATCGTGCTTCTCTCTCTTTGCCGTTTTCCGTTTTTGCTCTCCAGAAACTTACTTCCGTACTCAATCAAGCAGTTGCTACATCCTCCTCAGACCCGCCATTTCCAATTGCCACATCCGTCACTCCTAAAGTCGCATTCGTCATCTCAAGCCCAAATACCAGAGAAGCGTTGCCTAGCAAGAAGGACATATGCGAAGGATCTAAACCCTTTGGAAATTGAGTTCTCATATAGTAGCTCATGAATTTGTCGAAAGGAGCACCATCACGCCATATTACAAGCGACATCACCTCTCTGCCTTCGCTATCTACGGGGACAGCCGGGCATTAGCTACCTTGTACTCGCGACAACGTGCGAGCAGCGTAAAAGGCATCCAGAATGGGAGAGAAGGTCCTATCACATACTGAATATCTCTCCTGCTCCACCCTGCTGGTTGTTCTCTACGCAATTTCAAGCCACTTGATACCCAAGGTTTCTGATGTCCGACCATTTGAGGAAAGCCACGGGGACGACGAGATGTAAATGTCCATACATCACGAGCGCAATATTGCAGGTCCCTGCTCAACGACATCAGCAGCTTGGATATAGATACAGGAAGCTGGACTGACTATGAGACCACCACTTCTGTAACTGTACAACGGGTTGTCAAAGTGCAGGAGGCCGACCATCCACAAAAGACCGCCAATCTGCCGTCGGCAATGCTGTGCGAAGCTGTTGCTCAAGGAACCACCGATCAGCAGTATCCCCAGGCAGGTTCAGCAGAGCGGCCGAACAGTCCACAGAGTCAGGGCTTCCGTAAAACCTAGCACTGCAGTAAACCCTGCCATCTACAAAGAATGTTTGAGCTATGAGCAGGCAGAAGCAGGAAAAGTGGTGATGCAATGGGGACCATGGATGGAAATGCATTGGTCGAGCCGGTATTTTCGTTTGATGAGAGGAAGATTTAATGAGGTACATGAATTTCTAGTTCTAGTACTTCGACGCGCATTGCGCCACCCGGACATTTGAACGTCCACAGAGCAGCAGAGTGGAATTGGATTTGGTCGCAAGTATGCACAAGCTCCGCGGCACCTCTGTAACTAGGACATCTAATCTTGGTGAAACCGATCGCTCGCGCTGAGCCGACGCGCATCCGCCGATGACTTTACACCAGACAGATCTGGAAACGCATCATCTCTCTAAGCCAAATTCTAGACAAGGACCGAACCGTCCGTTCTATCCGAAATATTCCCATGATCTCAACTGTGCTTGCCAGCAACCCTGTCTCTTTCATCGTAACGCCCAAATTGGCCGTTCTGCCTTGTTTCAACTGCGCCATCACATGCCTATTCTTCCTCCACTATACTCTTGTCAATTCAGTCGTCTGTAATAGCGACGTCTACGGTAAATCCAAACTCTCAAGACTGTGCCCAAGCCTTACGCAGAATCCCGTTCGCGGCTCTGCCTCGTTCGGACCCCCACTCACAGCAGACTTACATCTTTGCGGAGCCACAATATATGGACCCACGATTCGGGGGTGTTAGCAACATTTATCGTCCATGGGCTCGTGCAATTGCCTAAGATATGGAAACACAGTAAGTCTTCGACGTGCCGGGGAGACTCCTCAGTTCTGTCCGCTACGTGTGAAGAGAGGGGAGGGGCTGTCGCTAAACTTTGAACCCCTTTGTAGACTCCTGCCATATGCCACCATGAGCGAAGGTCGGCCCGCCCAGCCCGGAGTGGTTGCACCTCTATTCCCTACGACGTGGAGGAATGTCGTAGACCAGGCTGCGCAATTGAGTGCCTGCTTTGCCGGAGGTCAAGCGAAGGGTGGATACGTCCCACTCAACTGTACGTCACCTATTTCCGTCATCCCTCAAATGGTCATTGTATCGATGCCAGCATTAAGGACCTGATAGGCTGGCTAACATCCTTGTGACAATCAGTACCCGGTGGACAGCTTGGTGCGGCTATGTATATGTACAGCAGCGATTCAAATTGGAACATACTCACCATGAATACGTACATGAGCAGCGGAATCCCTGTCTTACCCCATACTCAGCCAAACCAGCTCGGCATGTCTAGCAACGGTTCTTCTTCAAGCCAATTTGGCTTACTCAGCAATGCGAGCGTCTTGACCGGCACATCCTTGGGTGCCTCGACGATATCTATCAAACCTTTCGCACTGGGGGAGCTTGTGCTCCAGGATGAAACCTGAGAGTTACAAGACACCTACTGTTGCAAATGTTTGCAGATGATACCTTCAGCGTGCAGTGCAAAGATAGATATTATTGGTAGTTTGCATTCTGTCCGGAAGAAGGGCATTAAAGGAATTTGTGTTTATGTTCCTGCAGCATATCAACCTAGGCGGAATACCCGTTCCCTGACCATTGCATTTCTGACGCTCAGAGGGTAAGTCGGTGATCGACAGTGATCAACGAAATGAATCAATAGAAAGAAAAGCTGTTAATTTTTGAGCGAGCAGAGAAAGAGGTTTTGGATTTTTATTCGCGTACCATTTTCCAAGTATTGCAAGTGCATTCATGCTTTCATTGAAGAAACACTCCCAGTAGGCTGTGGCTGTGGTACGAGCTGCTACGAGCGATAGCTGAACTTGTAAGAATTGCTAGGGTTCCACATGCACTTTTGTAGGAAGAAGCTTGGTAACGTACCGTTTTCGAGCAAATCGCTAATCCGTTCTATTACGCTCCTGTATTTGACATCACTGGTCTCCGCTGCTTTGGTTCCCTAGAACCTATAATACGTTGATCAACTGTGTAGCTCTAGTGACCACCTTGCCAGACTAACACCCGCTCATTTCTGCCCTCTTGTGAGAAGACGAAACGTGCACGTCTCGAGTATTCCGTCATTACTATCACCAATCACTACCTCAAATCTGGCCACAACAACATTCTACGATCTTGTCTCTGTATTCCATGACAACTCGGGATACCAGTAAACTGCTTCGTAGCAGCAGTTCTTCTGGCCTCGTCTTCTGTATCCACCCTATCCCTTCTCCTCTACCTCATCCCCGTGATCCCACCAACCCCACAGCAACATCCACCCAAGTGTCAAAGCACCAAGCACTGCTTACAGTCCGGCAGTCCAAATGTTCGCATCTCTCGTCTGTTTTGCGAAGCCGTGCTGTATACGTTCGGCTTCTCTCAAGTTGTCACCATTCTCTACTCACTCGCTGCAGAGGGAGAAGAGTGAATGTAGCTGCACACCCACAAAAATGGGCACACTCTGTTCATGAAGGTAGCCTTAGTTTACCCAAGCAGGCTCATTCGCGTCATCGTCTTGCGAGAACGTGGCTTGTCCAGCGGATTTGCATTCTGTCCCAGAGAAAGAGACTTGTTTTCTTAGGCGTCGTTGTATTGTTGTAGAGCTTTTACAAGATGGAGTCGTCAGGTCGTTGCTTTTCGAAAGACATGTCAATTATGGTTGTACATGCCGTGGTTCCATGGTAATTCTAGAAATGTAGAAGTCGTATCGAGCAAAATCTAAAGTGATGATGTCAAAGACATCTTCGCAGCTATTAATATTCTTGTCTCCCTCGACTATATATTAAATCAAGAAGACCAAGTACATCGTAGGCACATGTCAAAAGAGGGTCTGAAGGCCAAAATGTTGGACAAAGCCCGAAGGACAGCAAGGAGCAAAATTTTGTTAATCTGCCCGAAGGTACACCGCGACCACACAACAATGGTTGTGGCCGAAGCCATACAGCGAAGCGATGTATTGAAACATATGGGCCGCAGCTCTAACACACAAGAAGCACCCTCACACACCAGGACGCGAAAGAACCAGCGCCTTGTGTTCAGCCTCGATGCTGGTTCGTATCTCCAACCGAGTCTTCTCCATTCGAACAGGAGTATTTTCCTACCCTAACCCTAAACGACCTCTTGCTGTTTCGCATCCATCACTTCGCGGCCCTGGGAAAACGTCTTCTGAACCTTGGTCATGTCTCCTGCGTTCTCGTACAACAGATCTTGGATACGTCGATTGAACACGTCATCCACTTTGGATCGGGCTTCTCGTTCTGCGACTTGTTGATCTGTCAGACGGGAACAGGCTTGTGCGTTTTGCCTTTGGCGCTCCTCAACAAATTCGATGGTGTCGTTATCTATTCCTGCGTCTTCCTGCGTCTAGACATTCTCAGAGGTGCGGGAGGCTTACAGTAGGTTGACTTGTCATTGCCCGATGATTATGTTCGGAGATTCTCTCTTGATCTGTCGACAAAGGGTTGGCAAGTGTAAGAGGCAAAGCGGTTGTTCTTCCTTTAACAACGCAGCTGAGCTTGACCAGTAATGAACTCATCGCCGTACTTCGGGCTCATCTTTGACTTGCCGATCTTAGGGTCTAGAGAGGTCTATGCTTTGGTCCGACAAATGCGTCTTTGGACTTTGCGTACTTCTTTTGTAGTGAAAGTATGAGAGATCGCCAAAGATTCCACCAAGGTGCAGCTGCTTACCGATCAACAGCCCTTTTCGAAAGTCCAATGCTTTAACAGGTTGTGCACGTCCCTTGCCGAGCCTGGGGAAATAATGTGGTTGAGATGAACAACTCATGATAAGACCCTTCATCCAAGAGTTTGAGTTTGGGTTGCCATGGTAATGCTCGTAAAAGGTAGTGAGAAGCTGTTGCGAGCTTTGGTGAGATATTTGCAGGCTCGCAAGGCAAGAACAAAGTGGGTTGGGTGAGGTGCAGTGAGATTTCCAAAAGACTGAGAAGTTGCTGGAAGCACTGATGATGATCATATGGTGATGTACGCTGTCGTACGAAGATGTGGTGCAGAGTTTCGAGTTCGAAAAGATCTTGTCGACAGAGGAGCGAAGATTGAAGAAGGAAGAAGAGAAGCGATAGGGCAATCGGGCTCCAGATTTTGCGATCGGGGTGAATGGGCCAATGTAATCGAATGCAAGTACATCTGCGACTTGTAGACTCACTACCGGCAACAATCCTTTGGTAGGTCTGAGCGGTCCTATCATTTGGCATCTGGGGCAATGTTGATGTTGAGTGCTGGGGGAATTTGATCCGTGTGTGAAATTAGTTGAACTTGGAAACGTCTTTCGCCCTCAATCCAATCGATGGAAGATGGCGTGGAAGGTAAAAGTATCAGATTTGTAGCGTATCAATTGAAAGAATGTATCAACAGCAGGACAACGGGCAAGGAAAAGAACCTTTAGCCGGGTTGATACTAAAGCAATTGAGAACAAATACGGAGAAAGCATAAATAAATAAACTCTCCAACCAATTCCTTTTGAACACCAATCTGAGTGGCAACGAAAAAGGATGAGGTTGGCAATGACGCGTTGTCGGCGATGTAGAAATCATAAGAACGGGATGAAGTGCAACGCACGTTCTCCATCGTGTCGAGATCCCGACCCAACAGCACACGATCTGTAGTAAAGTCCATCTCTCGAACTTTCAGCATCGTGTCCGATAAACTAGCCTTCAATTTTCGCTTGCTATACTGCCTCTGTCCTTTCTTCTCATTTTACGAAGATGAAATATAGATATGTCAGACTTCTTCAGAATAGCCCTTTTTGTTGCATCAAGTGAGTCTCCAGGATGAGGAGTTATGTCAAACAGGGGAATGGTATTCACAATGTCTTCATCGTCGAAAGAGCTGACAGGTAGGCCGTCTTCGGAGTCGAAGTTGTAGATGACCGTAGAAGCAAAACATTTTCCAAGCCCATAAAGTCGTCTCCTGAGATCTCAAATTCATACCTCGGAAGGCAGTAACAAATTGGCGGGAAGGCGTCTGCTCATTAGTGTAGCAACCTGCCGGTCACGAATGGCAAATGTCAAATGATACACGTCGTGATTGATTCTGTAGGCGAGCTTCGGAGCATTTGGGATTCCTGCCTGGAGTTGGGTGGACGCGCTTGCCCATTGCGAATTGCTCAGGTGTAACAAATATGCTTCGTGATGAAGTGGTGCTGAAAGTCTCAGCATCGGAGCCAGCATTCTACTTGGAGAGAGAGACTGTCGATTAGACCCTGACTTGCCTTTAGCGTTCAGCACGGCTTCGCTGACGGCTTGCCGGATCACCTGGTTTTGCAAAGTTGCTCCACGCATTGGCGGGTCTGGGCCAGAGTGTCTAGCAACACTGTCAACACGGATCCACAAGGAATGTGACACCACAATGATTGAAAAGAGGTGGGCTAGCAAAAATGTAGTTGGATTTTGCATATCATAGCTGCAGAAGGTTCGATGAAGATGGAGATAATCCTGGCAAGATGTCTCACTTACGTTCCTTATCATGGATTGCTGACTTGCGATCGCCACTGCTGTAAGATGAGATTACGTCAGTCTTCTCTGCGCGCCGTTCGGAAATAGGCAGCCCATCCTTCGAGTTGTCGATCGGTGCCTGCTAGCCTGCTTCTTCTTGACATTTCGGTCGCATTACTCGCTCAATTAGCACATTTCAGCTTTGAGATGGTTACGTGCCGGCGGTAGACTTACTTCATAATGAATTATTGACGAACTTGGTTTCTGGGCGAAATCTTCTCTTTGCCGCGTCAGTGTACAAATTGTGGGTCTCATTGACAGTGACATCTCTCTGATCGAAGTCCTCGATGTCAGATGTTATGAAGGCGTCGCCTAGTGGTGATGAGAATGGAGAATCTATTGTATGATGGTGAGTTGTTTCAGTTTGGGTTTGAATAACATTGGGCCTTACTCCTTTCAAAAGCCAAGAGTTGTGCTCCAGCTGGCCTTGGACCAAGCGGCGTGGTGTTGCAAAGCTCAGTGAAATCTTGATGACCTCTGCGCAGAGCTGCCGACTGGTTGTCAAGCCGCTTGTCCGCTCTTGTTGCTTCCTCCATACCCTGGTGTAGGGAGTTTCCGAGAAAAAGATGGCCGTAGTCCGATACGATAGGTAGAGAACACGAAACCTGGAAGCTTAGCATTGGTGATCGATTATGAGTCTTGATGCAAAGTGTAGATGACCCTTGATAGGGATGATCGTTGAGCGCTAGAGATGTGGTCTCACGATTCTGGAACTAGTAGAATCAGCGTCAACATACTTTGCATAATAAGAAGCCTGAAAATTAATGCTCACCCGACTTCTCTAACCTAACCATCCTCATCTAGAACCTCTCATCTTCATGATCTTCCATTTCCACCGACGCAAGCAGTCTACGTTCATTTTCCGTAGGCAGCAAGAAATGAAGCACACCCAGTCCTCCACTCACGTAGCAAGAAATTGACCCGCAGATGAGCATCTCATCATCCACGTACGATGCCTCGAGGCCCTTCTTCTCAAGCTACAAGAAATGAGTCAGTCAGCCATGAGATAGAATCGAATCGACGCGGGTAGCAGCGAAGAATTTCTTTTCCAGGAACATGATATACGTCGAGGTCGTATTCGCTCAGACATGGCTGCCATCGGGATATGCGCCCCGTTACATCTTCGCTTTTGAGAACCTTAAGCAAAGCCTGATGGTCTGTGTAGAGCATTATCGGGAAGCGCGACCCTTTAACGCTCTACCGAACTTCTGCTAAACATTTAACAACGGCTAAATATTCTCTCTCAGTGGTGTGATAGCGAGTCTGGGTCGGCGTGAATTGATAGGACAAGAACATCACGATAGACATATCAGACCACAAGTCTTTTGTCAAAGAAGTGCCGACATCAGAGCTCTTCAGTTGAAACAGCACCCCTGCTACCCCGGTCTTCGAAGGGTCAGTGCTGAAATGATATTGCCTGGCGTCGTCACCTCAGGAATCGGCATTGTCCAAGACAGCCTACGCATTTCCTCCGCAAGCAGTTCTTACCACGTCCAGCTCCGTAAGCCTCAGGTGTGTTCCGCGATGAAAAGAAACAGAAAAAGGGCTGCGTAGTGCTTTGAGGTCCGGGGGTCACTTCGAATGATTATTGAGTCTGGTACACGAGAATGATGTATACTCGACGCGAAATAAAAACCTGCAGTGATTCATAACCGTAGATACCGGCAATTTATCGGCTCTTCTGCCAAGTAACAGATAAGGGTTGTGACTGTAGAGATATGTGAAAGAATTGACAAGAGAAAAGAGAAGACTGCCAGAACGTTAAATCGTATCAAACAACTCCCCACAAGATCAATCATTCTTCCGCATCATCTCCCAATGCTCCTACAAGTTTGAACCTGAGGAGACCTCAAACTCATCAATCCCTGTTTTCCTCACCGCTAAAATCAGCATGCAGCAGTAGGAGTGCTCAGTCTCCAATCAGAGCGAGTACATACCAGCGATTCTAAAGAAAACCCCACGCTGCCGCCAACTGGTCAGACCCAGAGTCCAGGGACGTGCTCAAGCTGTTTCTAAGATGGCTTGCCGTCAGAAATGATCCGCAAAGAGATACACGCTTAGCACCATTTCCATATGGGCAGCTGAGATGGGCGGCATTACTGCGTGATTGCCCTCGTAACCATGATATAAACTGTAAGCGCCAAAGCGAAAACCGTGCCGATTCTTAGAGGAAGCGTAATCTAGAAGTGTGGTTGGTCAGTCGTAGCGTCTATGGCGAGAGGGCGCAAAGCTTTGTTGGTGCGAAGAGGTAGCAAAGAATGTCGAAGGAATGCCCGTCCGATGTAGGTGTAAGTTGGTGGAGTTGGCAAGTTCAAGGCTTGAGTAGTCCGATCGTTTGGATGAAGGGTAGCTGCTGACTATGGATCTGATATGCAGAACGTGCCCATGTGTCTTCGAAGCCGGTGTGTCATGAACAATGACTAGATGCTCCAAGATAACGAGCGTGACGTTGCTGGGCTAAATTCTTCTCAAGATTTAATTGTACTCGCACCACGTCCCTACGCCGAAAAATCTTGACTATCTGCGCCACTTTTTTTCCTATAAAGAAAAGGGGGAAAGGGAGAAACGAGAACAGTATGTATATATGTAAGGTCTTTTGCACTAACAATCCAAGCAAAGACTATACCCACCTACGATGCTGAAGTACATGTATAAGAATAAAATTGTAGAAGTGTGTATATAAGGTAGATGAATGACGAAAGTTAGAGAGAGTCGGTGAGAAACGGGTTTCAAATACCCTCGAGTGACGATCCGGCGATCTCGCCGCTGGTGAATGCGCGACTTGTGAATGTCGACGGTGAAGTGAGGGCGGAGATGAGTACAGTATTCCAATGAGTTGGAGGCTTCTCTTGAGTAATATCATTACTCGTACAGGCATAACGAGACATCAACATCGAAGCTCGAAGCCCGATGCCATCCCCAAAGAGGGATAGTAGATGACAGAGTAGTCATTGTGGACAACATGGCAAGGACTGCACGATCAGTGCCCTGCCATTTAGGCTTGGGCCATTGCCCGAGAAAAGAGCATCTTTTAAGCGGGTAAGATGAATGGAGAACAGTCACCAAGAGACGGGGCGAGGCAGATACGGGAAAGTGGAAGTAAGATGATTGAATTATTGAAAGATCTCCACCCATTTCTGTTGCATCGCGTAAATGAGGTCCAAGATGAAAGTCCACTCCATACCAGGAAATCCCAAAAATGAATGAGAACGAAGGACCGCATCAGTCAGACTTGCCATCCTCGCTCACCTTCTCCTTCTCACTGAACGCCCCGCCGCCCTCACCCCCCAGCGCACCCTTGAGACCAATATCCCGATTGACCGCTTCCATCCTCTCATAGTCGGCCCTGGCGGTCGTATCCGTTCCGAAGAGGATGTCCATCTCCTCGAGCGTAAGCCTCTTAGTCTCCGGGACATAGAACCAGATGAAAGCGGCGCCCATGAAGCAGAAGAGACCGAAGATGATGTAAGTACCGTAAGTGATGCCGCTCAGCATATCCGGCGTGACTTGGCCGACGATGAAGTTGTTCATCCAATTGGAGGAGGCGCCGAGGGCGATGCCGTAGGGGCGGTTGGACATGGGCCAGACTTCTGCGACGAGGATCCAGGCGCAGGGGCCCCAGGAGTAGCCGAAGTGGATGACGAAGAGCCAGACCATGGCAACTGGGAATTATGTGAGTTTCTGGCTCGTTGGAAAAGATGAGGGATAAGTGATGACTTACCGGCAGCCCAGCCAGCAGCAGTGTGCTTGGCCCAGGAGGATTGATCTTTGGCGACAATGACGGCGATGATTAAATGACTAGGAACAGGGTTAGCATCCGATCTGTTCGACGATTTTATTTGTCTGATGCTCACCAGGTACCCATTCCAATTGCACCAATGGTCAAGATGGGCTTGCGACCAAGTTTGTCGATGTAGAACAGCGTAGGGATTGTGGCGAGCAGCATGACGATACCGACGACACCGGTGGCGAGAAGAGAAATGGTGTTACCGGACAGGCCGAGGTTTTGGAATATGGTGGGAGCATAGTAGAGGATGGCGTTAATACCAGTCCACTGTTGGAAGAACCTGGTTGCAGTAGTCAGCGTCAAGCGTCCTGAGAGATCAAACGTCATGCTCTTACATAGTGACAGTAGCAACAATCACTCGTCTGAACATAGCCATACTCTTGAAAAGACTTCCAATGGCAACGAATTGCAGCTTAAAGGTATTCCACGCCCCCGGGTGCTGCAGGTGAGGGAATTTGTCTGCGACAGTCCGCTTCTCGAATGTAGACTGAGCCTTGATCTCCAAGAACTCGAGCTCAACCAACTCATGATCCTGTGACAGTCCTCTCAAAGTCGCTAGCACTTTGCGTGCTTCTACTTCTCTGTCGTGATGCACGAGCCATCTCGGCGAGTAAGGCATAAAGATCATCCCACAGAAGAGCGCCAATGCAGGAGCCAGCTGGAGGCAGATCGGGACCAGCCAAGAAGCTTCTGATTGCGTACTTCCTGTGCCGCCAATGTAATTCGTCCCACTAAGCAGTCAATGTCAGCTAAGTGACAAAGAAAAGTGGGCAAGGGCAAGCGTACTAATCAATCCAGAAGCTGACCATGATACCGATCTCAATGGCGAATTGCTGGAGCGAGATGAGAGAACCCCGGACTTCAGGAGGAGCACACTCGGCGTTGTACATTGGAACAATCATGGACAGAGAGCCGACCCCCATACCGCTAGAGGCATTGTTAAATGGTGCGGCGATCATGATATCAATATGAAACTTACGTGATGAATCTGCCTCCAAGGATGGACGAGTGCCCAGCGGCGACAGCGGTGGTCTGTACAACAACACCAATGATGAAGACGCCGGTAGCGATGATGATGCTGATCTTCCTCGAGTACTGCTCAGCCAAGAAGCCGGACAGCAGTGTTCCAACCCAGGCGCCTAGTTCCAAAATAGAGGTGAGCCACCCTTTGCGAGTTTGGTCTGCTGCGAGTTTGGAGTCGTAGTCTCCCATATCTACAACATGTGAGCGAAATTTTTGTGAACCAAGGGTAGATTCGATGTTTACGATCCATGAAGTTGTTCATAGTCAAGACACCGGAGAAAACTCCTTGGTTGTAGCCGTAGAGCAGGCCTCCAATACAGGCGAAACAGGCAATACCAAAGACTCTGAAATTTTGAACCAAAGCCATGGGCCCTGAATCGCCCATGAGGGCCTTACGGCGGTTGAGTGCGACATCGTAGGTGCCGGTGGTAGCAGCGACCGGACCCATCCTGAGTATCTGAAGCGGATGCTGCTACGGGCTCTTGAACAATGGAAAGGCTGAAGAAAGCACTCGCGGCAGAGAGTAAGAAATACAATTATAGAAAAGTCGGGTCAGAAGCGGAGAAGGAGGTATATATGGCATGAGACAAGTACATCATTGACTACTGAGTGGTTCCGATATCCCCATGGGGAAAGGAGGAGGGGGTTTTAGGCCATGTCGATCTGGGGAAGAAGATGCTGGTCGGCCACTCCGGTTAAATGGGTAAAGTCAGCTGCTGCCAGCCTGCCATACAAGAACTTGCACCACTTATTATTACCCATTACCCGGCCCCTCGCTCTGAGTATGATATGGTAAAGCAAAGTAAACTAAAGTAGGAATTGGACGAGTCTCGTGGCTTCCGTGGTAAGCCCACCCGTTTATTATCCCCGTGAGCTAGCTTTAAGTGCAGGGTATGAGTGCTGATCATTGGCTTCTCTCCATCGATATCATCGGCCAGGTTGCCTAGAGTTTGGCGGATCCTTGCTGTTCATGTGGGTGACCAGGATTCGCTTCGTTTACCAGTACTACGAGTAACTTGAAGTGTTGGATGAACTTCTCCACACTTCGGTTAAAAGCAACGGCAATTTAGACTTTGGAGATGCCGAGTCACGTGCGCTCGGCTGATACGCGTACGGCCGCGTAAAGTTGCTCGCCACCTCTTTCCCCTCCCCCCCTCCCCTCCCCTCCCCCTCACTTCCCCCTTAACGAAGCATCAAACAGCATCATCTATGGCGAGCAGAGAAGGGAACCACGACATTTGTTCCTGATGACCATGACAAGGGCGAGGTCTAGTATTGTTTCTTGTGCAACTAGAATCGCGTACCTGTTACCTGCTTTTGTTGTACATCAAGCATGTTAACTCATCGAAAAATGGTAATACATCCGCTGGGAACCCGTCCATAGCGGTCGCTTTGTCGTTGCTGTTTGATCGATAAAATGCGCTTGCCCAGAAGCTTTGCGTAGTTGGTCCTTTCACCCGCTTGTTGGAATGATTGACCATTGAGGAGTCGCAAGCCTGGATGACTTGACTTGACTTGATTTGTCCTTTCCCCGCTAAGCGTTCCGGGCCGCTCATATGCTCTGTCCATGTATGTCTACATCCGAGATGAACGCTATGTTGGCCCATCCGTCTAGTTTCACAATGAAATAGGGTAAATTACAAATTCATACCCCAAAACCTTGGATCATTTGAAATTATTTATTAAAATTTGGCCTTTGAGTGTCCGGCGTTTAACGTCCCTAAAGAATGAAATATCGGGCCTTCAAAGCCAAACATAGAGCGGAGTACATTCTGTTGCTCGTAAACCAGATGAGCAGAGATCTTAAACTCTCTTTGCCTTTGTAACTTTGTAAGCCGGATTCAAGATGGCAATAATGGTTGTACTCTCGCGCTTCGAGATCTCATCGAACTGGGATCTGCAGGCTTCCCGGATCGCCCTGGTGGCTGTTTGGGTCCTTTTTTTTGAAGCGGAGCAGAATCTCATATCGTTTGTCTACATCATGATGCCTTCTCTGGTCCTCGTTCTTCTAGCCTAGCCATATCGCGGAAGAAGCTGGCAGTTCTAGACTATGTGATGGCTGACCCAGGCATGCTTTTGGAAGATGTCCGTTGATCATATTACCAACTATCTCACTACTACCAAGGTCTTTACTTGGGCTAGTGCGTCTTATAATTACACTATGCCCAGAATTAGCTATGAGGCTACTACCGGAAATTTTGTTATGGTGGATAGAAGATCCATAAGAATGATCATTTTCACTTTCGCGCCAGATCTGTCCCTCCCGAGTTTGAACGGCGGCTTCAGTCAAAAGAAGAACTCCTCAACCTCGACCTTGAAAGAACTCTATAGGCTGCTCGCCAGCACGTCCACGAAGATCGAAGCCACTAGTACCCAATTATCTCGGGGCTTTAGCCTGTGATGTCGAAAGCGCTCATGTTTAAACGGGTTCTCCTCGGATTGTGGGCATTTGCTAGCCATCTTGTCGCGTGAATATCCAGTTGGAACACGAGCTACCGCTATTGTCGAGCAGGATTGATGACGAGATCCAGGCGGACCTTAGTGACTGCGAAAGACAGCAATCACAAGCCTGTCTCTTCAGGCGACCACCGTGTCAACGACCAAGGGGCTGCCTGAATGCGTGAGAATGGCTGTGCTTGAGGCCTCGGACATTGCCCAGGCAAACATACAGCTAGTGTTCTTGAGACAACACTGTTCCTCTTCGCATACTGTTTCCACTGCATCAACTCAACCGCCTCTGTGTCCACTTCAATCATATCCAGGCATATAATCATCGCCGTTGTCTCCCAAGTCATGCGCACTTATCGCCAGCACACACCAGGCTTCGCCTTCCTGCCACCGCAATCACATGTGTCTTCACGCGACAACAACAACAACAACAACAACAACAACAACAACAAAACAAAAACCGATTTAGTTCAGGATCTCATGACCGTCCACAATTTACTCATGCTGTTCGCAGTCCCGTCAAGTTTGCATCCCGCGGCAACAACAACTATGAGCGCGGTGTAAATCTCAAAAAGATCTTACGATCAAAGTGACGCCGATCTGGAACCCGGCCAGTTCTTGCAGTATTCCACAATAGAATCACACGATCAAGAGACGGAGTTCGATAAAATCTCACGCCAAGCCACTTAAAACCCACGCGGACCCACCCGCGCTGAGACCAGAATTGGCGCAGCTGCACCGCAATCCACCAGCAGGTCTCGCGACCGAGGTGAAGTTGAGAGCGAAACTAGCGAGTCCGCAAAACGCCCTCGTTTCGACGAGAGACGTCTTCTCGATCCCCGAGGCTTCAACTACACGCTACGCAAGAGCTCACCGTGCAGAGCCACTCACATTCCGGCATGCGAGAGCCTACGTCGAGCAACTATGACTGCGGCCATTCTACTGTCAAAGCCGTACGCTCCTCAAGTCTCACCAGCAATCGAAGGCGTCTGCTAGACCTCGGAGGCTTTCCCGCCAGACAGCAGCAATATTCCCAGTCCAAAGCGTCCCCCACATCACGCATCACCGGCACCCGCCCTTCCGCGCCCAACCTTTCATCTCCACCCCGCCCAGCCTTCGACCAGCGGACAACAGACAGCCAGCAAGGGATGAAAGTGCTCTTCCTCATCGACCACGCCACCAAAGGCGACGCTCTCCACCACAACATATCGCCCCTCCTCATCCGCTCAACCTCTTCCCCCTCCTCCTCCTCAATACCAAAGCGCCTAATGAGCAAATACCGCAGCGACCGCTCGAGTTTCCAGAACCACTTCTTCGCAAAAGCGCGCCTCATCCGCTCGCAGCTGACATCGCGACGTGACTTCCTCGATCTATTCTTGATGTCATACGACGACGACACCACCGACAGCCAAGCCCGCCGACTCGCGTACTTCGACCAGAAATGCACCACGGCGCACTTATCGACGCTGTACCACCGCATCGCCTCCGCGGTCGACATCCCCCGGATCCTCGCCGCGCGGAGCCCGCACAAAAAAGCGTTCAAGAAGGCTGATAGCGCAGGTATCCGTGCACAGCATGGAAGAAGACCTGTGGAGCTACGAACTCCCCCCCGGCAAGCGGGATCTTCCCGCACAGCTCGAGAGGGAGGACAGAAGGGAGGTGTACGTTCGTTTTAAGGAGCTGACGAATCGCGTTCACGGGCTGCCTGGATATACGGACGTTCCGCTGACGGCGGATTTCCCCCAGTACGTGCTTTTTGGGCGAGGGGCCAGGCCGCGCGATGAGGGGGGATGTTTATGGGAGTGGTGAAGAGGGCGGTGGTGAAGATGAGGGTGAGAGGGGCGACATGATGCCTCATCCTTGGATCCCTGCGGAGGTATAGTTTTTAGGGTCGATGGCTTCCCGTGAGATGATGCATGCTGAACCAAGTGCAGTAAATCGGATTCGTATGAATGCGCAAGGCGGGAGGGCGACTGGACATGACGAAGGAGTACAATCGGTAGGAAAAGACCGGGGCTCTTGCGTTAGTGTTTGCTTGCGCTTGGATCACACGAGGTTTCCTTGATTTTACCTGCAGTGATCGCGACGACATAAGACGGAGTTCTAGGTCCATGGTACTCGCTCAAAGCCGTCCTGACACCAAATCTAGCATCCGCTTCCCGAAACGTGCGTGAGCCTCACCGAGTGTTGGAACGATCGCTGTGGCTAGTAACGAGCGTGGGCTTCACGTCCTGTGAACTTGAGAATGGTCGGTATGAGTACTATTGGGCCCGGGGGCGCCTCCTCTTGACCCGACGCCCAAGTTGAAGATTTATCATCCTATGATGAGCTCACTCTTCGTCACCCAAGCTTAGCCTATCTTCCTCAAGCGCGAAACACGCAATTCATCTTTCCCAAACAATCTACCCGGCAATCCCCACAGCTCTCCTTTTCAGGATGCCTTCTCTTCAAAAGGCGTGGAGAAACAAAGATACGGAGTATGCTAAGTATGAGAATCTCAGAGCCTTGCCGACCTGTGCCAAGAGTTCTTGACGCTTGTCTTCATCTTGTCAGGTTAAGTCTATTATCTCCGGCCCCTGACGTGTTACGGCCGCGGGCGCCGAAGACAGCCCTTAGTCGCCTCTTCTCGTACTCCGGAGCCCGGTAAGAGACACATAGTCATCACCTAAAATTTGCTTTAGAATTCCCTGGTCGAGTGTCTTGATCTGCTCTTCGGCCTTCGAGAGCCTCTGTTGCCACTGCTCATGCTTTGCCAGCGAAGGTGTGCTGGGCTTTGTCACCACGAGAGTTTCTACGCCCCGTTGATCGGTCACATGCTTGGTTATTGTGCATGCTAAACTCTGATGCAGATGTTGCCTTCTGCCGCGGCTGACTGGAAACCTCATGGACTACTACGAAACGTTAACCAAGAAGTTATCAAGTTGACAACAAAGCGAGCAATCGCAGCCTCGAGGGCTCCTTGTCCAATTACCGGCCTGTCGTTCGATCTGCACGAAGCGCATTGCGCACAGTGTGAGCGTTGTACGGAAGAGCTTCCCATATCGAGTCACCCGTTCTGAGGTCCACGGTCCAGTTGCGGTCAGAGCTCCAAGATGAGGAAGGAAGAAGGTTTCGAAGGCGACAATATGAACCGTACCAGCTTCAGCCTCCCACTTTCGGATCACCTTCAGTACCTCGACACCAAGATCTCGTCTGTCAAGCTGGACGAGCAAAATGGCTGGGTCGCCTGCGTTCATGAGACACTGCACAGGGCTTGCTGACGTATCAGTTTCGGACCTCCCTCGTTCTGCCGCGCTCCGACATTCAGCTGAGAATTTCGGAAGAAAGCAATGATAAATTCGAAAAAGACGTCAAATGCGTCGTCAACTGAGTGGGCCCGTTCCGGGTTTCCACGCAAGATACTGGTGGCGAACGCGACAGAAAAAGCAGTAACGACTTTCTCGAACTCTAGAACATGTACTGTCTTGGGGTAGATATTGAGCGACGTACCGAGCATGAGTAGTAGGCCACTTCGAAAGGAGATCGGACCGACCTTGCCCAAATGGTGCTTGGTGGCATACATTTTCAATGGCTTTCGCTTTGGGTTTCTTGCAAGGGGGGCTCCAACCGAGTCTACATTGTGAATTTTTAAGCCTGGTGATGTAGCATCTGGCAACAGCCCAGACGTAGCAAAGGTGCCCGTAGTCTGAATGTTGTCTAAACAGTCCTCAAGTGAGCGCTTGAGAGTATTAGGATTTGCATCGCTATCATAACCCACGTCGAAAGAGCTGGCGATGGATTCTTCCTCGACCGAGACTTGGGAAGATGGGGGAGTTGAGATCTGCAGCTTCGCTCGGTTCCCGAGAGGACGCGGCGCTGGCCTTTGATCTGGTCATTCCGGAGCTGCGCTGAATGCGCTGACTGTATCCAAGGATTGTTGGTGCCAAAGTCCTTGTTGATGACGTGTCTGTCACGCGCACTGGCGCGTGTCCTAGGGTCTCGGCTTCACCTTCCCCACTGCGTTGCTATCAGATTCCATGTTATTGCACTAGTATCCGAACCCTCACACGTTGCTCGTTCCTCGCTAAGTGCTACCCAGCCATATGCGAAAATGCAAACCCGTTTTTATCGCCACAGTGGGACTGGGGGTTAGTGGGTTTCATGATATAGCCGCTGTTTCAGGTACCCTGTATCAGGGTACCCGGTCAGGGGTAGGAGACACCTGTTCATTACGAGCTACATATCCACCTGTTTTGCACCTATCAATGGCTCTTCATTCGATTTCGTCTCTTTCAGAGCCATTGCATACTTTTTGTCCCACCCACCCACACCTGTACATAGCTAGCTACTATTTCACTCCAGGTCTATGCCATAGGCATGGAAGTTTTCTCGGCGCTGGGGTACGAATACGTCTGTTCAGGCCTCTATTCAGCTGTTATCCCGGCGTCGGGGACGGCCCAACCACTTGATACCTCATACCTATGTGCCCTGTGTATATGTGATGCGTGAGAATGAGAACACTAACGGCAACATTCGAATACTTCACATTTAGTTTACACCACCTGCTACAATCTGGAGGTTCACTTTAAATATCCGTCCTGCCTTTAACGATATACCAGTAGTAGTTGAAGTAAAACACATCATACCGCTCCATGAACGCGTCGAACTTAGGGAGAACCCCGCGCCAGGGATTCTCAGCCAGTCTCTTCGAAAAGTGCGCGCCCATTGTATCGAAAATTTGTTCTTCGTCCACCGCCTCGTTTCTGTTGTAGGTTGTAAAAACGGCTGGAACTCCGAGCTCGAGTATACACTGCAAGGTGGGCTGCCATCTCTGGACTTGTGATTCGGCGTGGCCGGAATTCGGTGCGATGATTAAGTCTGGAGGGTACTTGGCAAACAGGTCTGATTCAGCGAAATCATGATAGAGATCATCCGCCAGGAATGCTTGCCGGGGAGATCGACCCATGCTCTGGCACTTGGGACAGCATTCGAACTCCAAAAGCTTTGTAGTATTTCCATGCGCGGAGCCAACATCTGGTCCAACATAGCCGACTACCAAATGTTGGAGTTTCGGGAGCAGGTGATACAGATCTTCCGGCATCCTCGCGCGGCGGATCTCTTGATCGTCAGCGCCTATAATATGGATCGTAAGCTTGGTGCGAGAAGCAAGACTGGGGATTTCCGACTCGAGGCCCGCTAGGATGGTGAGTATAAGGCTCGAAGAATCGACGGCTATCTTGAGGAAGCGACATGCTTGCAAGCACGCGTTGTCGTCATCGGCAGGAGAGAATTCTTTGGTGATATACCTCGCGAATAGGCTATTTGATACGTCTTTAAAGTAGTCCTTCCAGCTTTGGGCTGTATGGAGAGGTTTATATGTGTGACGCGGGTTTTCGCTTGGCAGTTGAATCATGGCCTCTCCCGTCTCCTTAATATGGTCCATCGTGATGAGTTCACATGCGCCGGCGTCTTCCAAGCTGGAACATTGCTTCTGCTGATGCTGTTCAAGACCCTCAGCGCGGCAGTTTGGCGAACAGAAGAACGCAAGTTTGCAATCATCGCAAGGCGTCAGGCGGAAAGTTTCAGAAGCGACATTGTCAAAGGGTGTTCGTAGGCAATTCTCACACTTGGGCTGATAACTGAGTTCAACTCATGAGTGCCTTCTTCGAAGTCTTGAATTATATATATTTGAGACTTACTGCACGGCTCTTGCGTGATTGATGGCTTCTGGCTTTTGGCAGCCGTTCTCGTCCAACTCGACGATCATAGAATAACGCAATATCTGGACCAGTCTCCCGTCAGCGACTGACAGCTTTATATTGTAATCAGATCCTCTCATACCTGTAGAGTCTTGAACTCATCCCACGTAAGCTTTCCGGATGCCTTCGGCCCAGCGTTTAGACGCCTGAGTGCTTTGCAGAGCGTGCTATGTTCTGATGCCCAGTTCCGCTTTTGGCACTTGGAGCTGCAGTATCTGCTCCACCTCAATTAACCCAACAGATATTCTTGAATAGAGCTGTCGAGACCTACACTGCCCGATTGCAACCTTTGCAACGGCTCAAACTCGTTCCATCTTGCTTAGCTTCCTTGCATTCCCAGCAGACCGAGCCTACTACAGCAAGTAATGGTAGACCCACTCTCGATCCCTTGATCGAAGACATTGCACTGTCAACCGCTTGTTTGGTCTGTCTCCAACTGGTGGAAATTTCACGAATCTTAGATGTCTTTGCGACTTCTCAATTACTTTACCATTAACTATTAAGGTTTTTGACATGCGCGCGGCAACGCTACTTTTTGCTAATTCTGCTCTAGGCTACGAATTTAGCGTGTTCACTAAAGTAAATACGGCAGACTGATGAGAAAACCTTCCCAGCTTTCGTGACATCACTCTCCATCTCATTTAGGGTCTAGTGAAGTACACCAGAAGCAAAATAGCTGGGAACGACCATCATCAAGAGATCTACTCCCTGCCCATTCATAGACCGTGTTTTCTAAGATTGAAAAGTATCTGAAGTCGAAAGGCTCGTCGTCGGGATCTTCTTTTCCTACTTCGCATACCAAGACTTCACCTGAGGAGCTCCGTACACAAGCTCTCCAGCCTCAAGAGCCATCTTGATTCATCTCGCTGGCTCTCGAGATCCGAATGCAGATATACTCGCTCGCCCTATGCCCCCAGTTGCGAAATCGACCTACTGTACAGATGGAACTACCTTGCCGAAATGAGGGCACGCCTTCAATTCGTGCAATTGGGACCATGGAAGCAGCGGAGCGGCCCCAACATCTTGCTGTCGAACGAACAGATCCATACCGAGGCATCAGATACTCTATACGTTCAAGCAATCTCGCATCTACATTGCCACCCATCGCCATTTTCCCCTTTTCCTGGATGGCCTTTGCGGGGGATTAGAAAACCAATGCGTGACCCGAACGAAGAAGGTGACTAACTGGATCGGGACAAATCTTCACCTAAAGATTTTCGACGATTCAAGAGGATCAAGCTTACTGTTATTATCTCATCGTTCCATCTTGATGGGCTCCAACCTCGCGGCATCATCTTCCATGGATCAAACTACGGGCACACGAACTCTGCGATGCGGCACGGATTGTGGGGATTGAAGAATGTACTAGGTGCTCTAGTCGTTGCTGCCACAAAAAATGATCGACATGGTGCTCTGGTAAATGGATTGGAGGACTTGAGACTCCTGTACCTGGACCTCAAATGGGGAAAGAATATGCAGAGATGTACTTTTGGCGATTTTCAGGGAGCATTGGAAGAAAGAGGGCATGTGGGACCTCTGGAGACAAGACAAAAAGCACGAGCAGAACGCAATGCTGGTATGGCTTCAAACGATGTCGGGCAATGGGCTTCGAAGCAAGCTGAGTTTCAAGATCAGTTCCCAAAGGAAAAAGGAACTCGAAAGGGTGCCGAAGGATCACAATCGCTCTCTCACATACTACATGTCTCTCGGGCTCCCTTTTCTGCACCAAGTGCATCAGCAGATCAGGCGAGACGGTGGCGTGATCGTGAGGGGCAAGTATCTGGCCCTGCCATATCGCTTCCTCACCGGATTGCGGGAAACGTGGAACGATATGGATAGGTCCCGATGCCGTAATGTTTGGCGCTCGCACATATATGGGCTAAGGCACGTCAGGGCTGACAGCGGGATTGACAGTCGAACAGTCGTCCAGCGACTCCTTCAAGATAGCCCTGGAGCAGGTATATGCAATCTCTGAGCTAATTCTTTGAGAACGGTAAGGCCAAGTGATTTCAGACTTGAAGAAGTATGGCGAGCAGGGTGTTACATGTAGTAAGAAGGAAGGTAGGGGTCTTTCTGTGGGAATGAAGGAAAGAGGCGCGTTGACGAGCATGCGATGACTTGAGAAGCCTGTGATATCGCGACTCTCAGATGAAAGTAGCCTTACATACCTAGATAATCAACAATTCAAGTGTGCGAAAACAAGTGTCTGTCTCAATGATCACTCGGTGTTGATGAACCCTACGTTGCGCTATTGACTTCCATCTCGAGCAGGATCAAAGGCGTCGCCGAATGCATTACGTTGTTGTTTATATCAGGCTAGACCCTCGTATGCAGCATCGAGGCGACGATTGGATGTTTCGTGTTTTGTGTTTTGTGTTGGCGCTAACGCGGGGTTATTAGCGTATACAGAAAACGTTGGAATACTTGGCATTGAGATTCTTATACACACCTTATTAAAAAGTAGTACTAAGTAGATAAATCTTCTTTCATATCGCATTCTATTATCTTTTTTATTATATTTAAAGCTTTTATATATCTCGCTTAATTAATTTCTATTATTTCGAAATATCTCTTATAACGATTAATAGAAGAGATTTATCTTCGCTTATTTAGTCTAGAATTATTCGTTTATTATTTCTATATTAAAGATTTAATACTATTATCTAGAACGTCTATTGCTATATATAGATAATTTATAATATTTAAGAAAATCTCTTTATATATAGCTCGATTTATAAATTATAATTTCGTTTTAAAAATATCTCTTATAAGCTTTACTTAATCGTCGAAGACTTTTTATTAAATATCTTAAAGATTAATTATAAGCTATATAGAAAGAGATAATCTAATTTCTTTAAAAGAAGTAAAAGTTTATTTATATATTAATTTATAATATTAAAAACTCTTAAGAGAAAGTATTTAAATAAGAAAATTAATTAAAGAGTCGAATATTAATAGAATAAGAAGCTTTATCTATATTAGATTATAAAACTTTTTATATAATTATAGAGTAACTAGTCTTTATAAATAAGACTTTATTTAATAAGTTTATGGGTTAGCGATATAGAGTCTATACTTTTATTAATTAGAATAATTAATATTATATAGATCTAAGAAGAGAGTTATTTTAAAGTATATTTTCGGCGTATATAATAGATAAATATCTATTCTATATTAGATTTAAGAAGAGATAATTTAATATTAAGATCTTCTTTTAATAGCTAGTTAATAAATTATTATCTTATTATAATATTTTCTAATCTATTATAATATTATTATTATAGATAATATTAATATATATTATAATTTTTATATTAAGAAGATAATCTATTAGTATAATTATAAGATCTAATATTTACCTCTCACTTATTAGATTTTAATCTTATTAAGCTCTCTTTTAACGTCTTAAAAATATAAATTTAAAAATACTTTTATAAGATATAGTCTTAGTTCTAAGAGAACTTTAATAACTTCTTATAATATATCGTAAAAAGAAGTCGATATAATTACTTTTCGAGAAAGTATTTTAAGTATAATATTATAGAAGATTATGTTGAAATATTCAAGAAGGATGAATTGATTACTCCAGAAGCACTCTGGGACAGGGTTCTATATACAGGACAAATTCAGGTGGCTGGTCCAACAAGGTGGCTGGGAAGGCTGGGAAGCTTGGGGGCCAAGAATTCCAACAATTCCAACACGCCCCTGCAGCTAAGCGTACCAGCCCATCAACAAAAAACATGTAACTATACAAACATCTCATCGCCCCTGCAGCGTCACAGGCCCTCCAGGCCCCACACCGTCTGGTATTCGCAAGCCCTCCAGGCTCTACACCGTCCTGGTATTCACACCGTCTGGTGTTCACAAGCCTCAGGCTCCACACCGTCTGGTGTTCAAAAAAAAACGCAATCGCCGCAGTGACCTCGTTCTCGGTACGCTTCCGCTTCATACCTCTTATCATCTTATGATATCACTTTAAAGCTAATTCCGGATACTCGATATAACACACTAATCTATACATCTTACCACACATCTTATAACTCTTTTAATTATCACTCTTACTTATAACCCCCGCATTTATAAATATACTAGCTATCTCCTCCACCTCCGTAAGCTTTAGCTTTTCCCCTTTTCTCTCCTCTTTTAAAAGTATATTTACCGCTTTATAAGCCGTTATATCGGGGATAATAGCTTAGATTTTAATTAAGTATTAAAGATAATTAAAAAGAAATATCGATAGATAAAGAATTATTTATTTATCGAGTATAAGTTTAATGTTAATAGCTGTAATACGCTCTTTAAGTAACTTAATATAAATAATATAGTCGATTACGAAGTCGAATTTGTTATATTTAATAGTATAGTATTATACGATAAAGCGTATAAATTCGTTATCCTCGATAAGACGGTAGAGATCCGCGAGATAGAATATTATTTTAAAGTTATAATTAAACTTATCAGCTGTAAGTTATTATTTAACAGGGCTATTAATAGTAAGTATTATCGTATTAACAGTTTCTTTAAAAGAAATTTTTTTATTTAGCTAGAGCTGTAACGATTAATATCTCGAAAGAAGTCTCTTAAATATACTTTTATAACTTTTATTTACGTAATAAGATATATATATTAATAAGTTACTTCGAGTAATTTATCTTAGTAAGTTAACGAATAGATAACTTAAAAGAAATAAATCTAAGATAACTCGTTAGACTATGATTAATGCTAGTGTTAATACTAATACTAATATAATAAATACTTGAAATTAATAGAGATTAGAATTAGAGTTTATAAAGATATATAATAATAATAATATATATAGTAGCGTTATAAAAGCGTCGAAACCGAGCTTATAACCTATTAAAATATTTAAGAAGAATAAATTAATTACTTTAGAAGCACTCTGGAATAGAGTTTTATATATAGGATAAATTTAGATAGCTAATTCAATAAGGTGGCTGAGAAGGCTGGAAAGCTTAGGGGCCAAGAATTCCAACAATTTTAATAGATTATATCTTTAAGATAGATATAAGAAAGTTAAATAAAGCTCTTAATAAGTATAATATTTAGATAAATTTAGAAGATTAAACTATATTTACTACTATTATTACTATTTTAAAATTATTAAAGTCTTCGTCTATCGCTATTAAAAGCTTAAATATCTTTAAATTTATTTTAAAGCCTCTAGCTAAAGTATTAGAAATCTCTAATTATATAATAATATAATATATAATAGATATAAAGTTCTCTATTACTTTTAGATACTTAATTATTTATATATTTATATTAATAATATATCTTATCTCTAAGATCTTATTCTTCTATATCGCTTTAGAGATCTAAAATTTCTTTTATTTAAAGAATTACTTTATAATTAAATAATCTAGATTTAATTTATCTATAGAACTTAAGCTTTAAGTAGAAATAAGAGAAGAAGTAGAAGTAGGCTATTAAGTAGATATTAAGATATATACTTAAAGTAATTATAATAACTATAAAGTATACGCTTAAGATAAATACGCTTAAGGTAAATACGCTTAAGATAAATACGCTTAAGATAAATATATTTAAAAAGGAGGCGGAGTATATAGTAATTATAACTAAGGCCTTAATAATTAATATTCTTATTAATATATAGACGGATATACTATAGACTAAGAAGATCTTTACTACTATTAATATAAGATTATTTATTCTATAAAATTCATTATAGATTTAGCTAATTATATTTCTAGCTACTACTTATTAAAGACTATATATCTTATTATAAAGTTAATAACTTCTTCTCTTTCGCCTTTAATCTCCTTTCTTTTAATCTTTTAAAGAGACTTTCGCGAGTTAATATCTATAGCGTTTTAATTATAAACTTAGAAATTATATAGCTTAATAGAAGATTAATAGATTAATATATTCGATTTATTATTTATTATAGTCTTACTCTAAAGAGATTACTAAGTATAATCTATATTATAATACTTATTAGAGTAATTAATAAAGTATTAGCTATTCTTATTTCTATAGCGAGTATTATAATACTACTAGTAATTAAGTAGCTCTTTATTAAAGTTACTAATAGTCTAAAGTATATTTATTTTAATTCTTACTCTATCTAGTAGTTTATCTATTTAAGTAAGTCTATTAATTAATATAAATTCTTTTATTAACATAGATATAGGTTTTCGTAAAGACTTATTAACTTTAATTAAGATCTCGATTTTTATAATTAATTTAAACTTCTAATTATTAGCTTTTTAAGTAATAACTTTAATAACCTTATCTTATTTAATCTTAAAAAGATTATTAATTAATTATAAGATTCGTATAACTCTATTATAAATAGAACGTATATTAATTATATAGTTAACGAGTTTTTAGCCTTTAGAGTAATTATCTCTTTTCTTAATTATCTTAATAAGCGTTTACTTAAATAATAATATACTAAATACGTTAAGTCTTTAAACTTTAAGATTTATAAATTATTTTAGATATTTATTAACTTATAGAGTAATTAATAAATTTAAAAATAGATTATTAATCTATTTTTTCGCTTTTAATTTCTTTACGTCTAAAGTAATTAACTCGTTTTAAATAATTCTTAATTAACGCTCTTTAGTAAGATAATATCTAGTTTTCTCTTCACTATATTTAGCTATCTCCGCCTCTTATTCTTTTTCTATTATTATTATTAAGTCTTAACTCTATCTATTATTATAATCTATTAAGCTTATATATTTTCTAGAATTATATATTTATAAGCGGCTTTAATATAAGAGTTTTTAAATCTAAAAGTAAGGATAGCTATGCTTTATAAATTATTATTAAAACTTAATTAGTTATTTTTA